ACCAGGCGCTTGGTGGTGGGATGAGAGAAGGGCAAAAGCTTCCAAACCAAGAGGAGTCCAGCAGAGGAAGGGACAGGAGGTGGGAGAGGACAGCTCGGATGCTGGGTGATGCTTCTGCTGGGATGCTCCCTGTAGCCAAGAGCCAAGCATCACCCCTGAGTGGTTCCTCCTGCTGCTGCATGCAGCCTGATCCAACTGGGAGGGCTGGAGGATGCTGGAGCAGAGGCATCCTGAGCACTCCCCAAACCCCTTTCCATCCCCTCTGAACAGAGGTCTCATTTTCCAGCCTTCAGCTCCTGGCTCCCACCTCCCATCTCTCAACCCCCACCAAAGCCAGAGGGGAGGGTAAGAAGGCACAAACGGCTGCAGATCCGGTTACCTGCAGCCAACAAAACCTACCTGTGCCCCTCTCCATGGGGATGAACCACAAGGACCCCCCTGGCCCTCCCCGAGCATCGCTGCCTGCCACGATCGAGTGACCAGATGGACATAGGGCTCACACCGCAGCCTCCTCTAAGGGTCCCTTGTCCCCCCCCCTGTGCCGGCTGAGCTTTGACGCTGTGTCCCCCCGGGGCAGCCTTTTGTCAGGGGCGTGCAGAAGGGCCCCTGTGTCCCTCTGATCCCTGCCGGCCCCACGGCAGCGCGTCCAGGCCGGAGCATAAAGCTGGCTTTCAGGGAGCCGGCGTTGGGAAACTCCCGGGGAGAAGCAAGGGAGCTTCTTGTTAAACGGGGAGACAAAGCCACCTTGTTAAGGGGTTTACAAAGGCAACCATCTCCCCCTTGCCTGGGAAGCTCACGACCGGCGACTCTCCCAACCGCACCGGGGGGATGGATGGCTTTCCCTTGGAAAGATAGGAACACTCAATAGCCGTGCTGTGCTGCAGCCCTGTGACCTGTGTGCAGGGCCCAGGGCACCTTCCCTGCTCCCATGAACTGCTTCACTGAAGGAAAGGGGAGACATACTCATCAAGAGGATTCCGTAGTGTTCCTGTGAGTGCACCATCACTACCAGTGTCCCTGTCGAGGGGACTCCATCCTTGGACCACCACCTGCACTACTTTGTATTGGGCAGCACAAGAGCATCTTCTGTCCCTCATTTGGGAGGGATGGAGCCACAGGAGGGGATGTAATGGGAACACAGTCCCACAGGGCACAGCCACACAAGACCTCCCTGATTCCCTCCTGCAAAGCATCATCACTTTTGCTTACATGGACCCTTTCTTTGCCTAATAAAGTGAAGTTTAAGCAAAAAACTCAGCAGCCCCACAGCTGCTCTGTTCCCCTGGGAATTTTCTCTTAAATCCCATCTATTCCTACTGCCCTTTGCAGGAAAAAATCACTGCGCTGGACAAGGTCAGCGCTATCTTTGGCACAACCATGCCATTGGATGGGATCTCAGCCTCTGATGGGCACCCCCAAGTCCCCCATTTTGCAGACCACATCCAGGGGCTCCAAACACCATGACCACACCTGATCCCTCAGGATGCGCTGCCCGAACCTGTGCATTGTTCTGAGCTGTTCTTGGCAACGCTTGCGCTCATCCCCACATGCACATTAAACCTTAAACCCAGTAATTACCTGAACCTCCAGAGAAACAGGGAAATTGGTTTTGCCATAGTGATGCAGCAGGCTGCAGTAGCCAGCATTGGCTGGTGAGCTTAGAGAAAACAGGACCCTGGGCTTGTACAAAGCCCAACTGAGTGCAAGAGGCATCCAGGAAGGGGAGATCTGCCTCTGCAATCCCTAGGGATGAGCAAAATGGACCAAGCCACATGTGGTGAGCCCTATGGAGCAGCAACTGCATTGCCAAAGAAGCCAAATGAACAGCAAGGAGCTTTCACCCTTGCTTTTCCCTATGGTACATCCATGTCTCCCATCTATGCTTTCAGGTGGCACTCAAGGGGGTCCACATCCCTCCTGCCATCATCCTCACACCCTCCTCCTCTCCCTGGGGAGATGCCAGCCCTGTGTGAGCACAGCTTCAGGCCACATCACCTTATCCACTTTGAGCCAGCAAATGTGAGCTGCACGATGCCACCCCAAGGGCCAGTCCTTCACCAGGACGCCCCAGCCATGGCTCTACACCCTATGGGGCAGCTCTCCCTCATGGGGACAAGGATAAATTGGAGCGCTGCAGCTTTAAAGCAGCGTGTGTGCTCCTTGGCTGGCTGCAGGGCTGGTGGCAGCGGGGAGAGCCGGAGGACACCTGCGGAGATCCTGTACAGCTGGGGAAGATTAGCCTTTTCCACTAGACAAGACCCATTACCATGTTCCAATATACCATCACTTCCGCTAGGAGAGCCTGCAGATGAGATATCGATTGCTGCGACCCCGGACGAGCCCTTCCCCACAGCCCAGGAGGGTAGCAGAGCAGCCCCATAGCATGGCCCATGGTGTAAAGAGGGGATGCAGCTTCCCAAGGGCATCCCCAAGGGACCCCCCAGCACCAGGGGCTGCCTTGGGGCAGGCTGGAGCTTGGGTGATGCTTACTGGGGATGCGGAGAAGAGCTTCAAAGCCCAACAGTGATGCAGGTGCCTTCCCAGGGGATGCTTTGCCCTGGGGATGGGGAGCCCACACTCACTGCTCTTAAAGCTGGGTGTTGCAGAAACAACCCTGCCACCTTGAAAACCCACTCTATTACCCAAAAATACCTCTGGAAGGGTGTTACCAGGCACTTCAGGAGCTTCTCACACCATGCTGCTCACCTCCTGGTGCAATGGGAGACCGGCAGCCCCTGAAATACCTCCCCAGTACGCACCAGGTGTGGAAGGATGCTTGGAACATGCAAGGGGGATAATGAGAAACCACCAAATCCTGAGACCTGGAAGGGCTGATGGTAATTAAAGTAGTAATTAAACAAGTGGTGTTGAACTCACAGCATCCTCTTGCTGCAGCCCCTGGTTGCTGCACCAAGGGGAAAGGGCAGGCTATGTGCTGGATCTCCTCTATCCTATGAACCCACGGCTTTCCAGAGGTTTTATTTCTTCATGCTGGGTTTGACTTGGCTTTTCCAATGCACTGAGCTCTGCTTTACCAGCACAATGTGTTTTCAGCCCCACTGGAAGCCAACACATGCGGCTCCTCCAAGGCTGACCACAGCCATGCCCACCTTCAAGAGGTGCTGCTCAGGAAGCTGGATGCCACAGTACGCAGCATACTCAGCCAAAAACCTCATTGCACACCCCAGCGGGTGCAGCAAGGCTTGGGCAACCAAGGACACTCAGATCTGGGCTCCACAGTGCTGCAGCACAAGTGCTGGAGCCAATTTGAAGCCTTGAAGTTAAATGGGTTTGAGCATCCCAGGGAGAGGTGGCCTTGGTCCGATGAGCCCTCCCCAGGGCACATCTAGCATTTCTCAAGCATTGGGACATACGAAGCTTCTGCTGTGACACTTTCTTGTTTGGTTGGGGTTTTTCCCTAAGAAAAAGACACCATCTCCTCATTGCACCAAGTTATTTCAACCTCCAGTTTGCCAGCTGAGCCCTCTGGCATGGCCAAGCCTTGTCGCTGCCAAGGGTGAGTAGTAGAGGTCCCATGGACCAGCGCAGTATCCTGAAGGGCAGCCGCAACGTTCCCATCTTGCTTTTTAGATGATACCCCCCAGAAGATGGCTCCTGATGAGGTTTCAAGCCCTTTCCTTCACCTGGAAAAGGACTGCTATGGGATGAACAGCACTGGCTCAATGTGGGCTCAGCACCCCATCCCCATTGACCATCCCTGCTGCTGCAGGGCTCTGGGATGCAGCTCATGCGGGACCCCCACATGAAGCCACGCTTTCGGCAAGGACTTGCTGCCATAAGCAATGGGATGTAGGGAATGGGGCGGCCCCACGCAGCACCCCCACACCCCACAGGGGTTGGACAGGCGCCACCAGCCCAGAAACCCATTTCTCTCCCCTCACCTGCCAGCCCTGTGCTGCTGCCTCCTCCCAAGATGGTCGCTGCCAGTAATAGCAGGGAAAGTCACATCCAAGCTGGGAAAATAACATGTTATTTTCCCAGCTGTGATGTCAGAGCTTGTCACGCTCACAGGCTCAGTAGCAGGGCAGGCAGGGCATGCCTCAGTGTCCCCAAATGGCCACGGGGCATGGATGTCCCCTGCAGGCTCCAAAACCATTCCCCTTTCCGATGGCAACGATGCTTTTGCTCCCTAAATGTGTTGGAAAATGGGATGGGGGTGACTGGTTCCCTGTGGCTGTGTCCTGGGCACTGCAGGGTGCATCACTCCGAGTCCCACAGAGCATCTCTGCTCTCAGCCTGAGGATACCCACCATGGGGACATCCCAGTGCGGGTCCTTGCCCATCCTCGTCAAAGCAGAAGCTCATCCTAGGTGTTTGCATGGGTCAGAAAGTGTTTTCTTTCCTTCTTTCTTTCCTTCTTTCTTTCCTTCTTTCTTTCCTTCTTTCTTTCCTTCTTTCTTTCCTTCTTTCTTTCCTTCTTTCTCTCTCCTTTCCTTTCCTTTCCTTTCCTTTCCTTTCCTTTCCTTTCCTTTCCTTTCCTTTCCTTTCCTTTCCTTTCCTTTCCTTTCCTTTCCTTTCCTTTCCTTTCCTTTCCTTTCCTTTCCTTTCCTTTCCTTTCCTTTCCTTTCCTTTCCTTTCCTTTCCCCCTGCTTCCACTGTAGTTTAGCAGCACGTGTCCCTCACTGAGCCATCCCTGCATCCTGGCTGAGCCATAGGGATGGAGGGACCCACAACCCACCTAGGCACAATGGATGGGAGAGGAACCCACCTCCCAGCCTGTCCTTCAACACCATCCAAAGATATTCCTCCTTGTCCTTCCCGTTTCAACAAGCCCCAGCTCTGCTCTTCAAACACACCAAAATGAAGACAAAAGAGAAGGGATCAAATCCTCTTAACCCATCCCCACCTCCCCACTCACCCTTCAGGCCCAGCACCATACCAGGGCGATGTTCCTTGCTCCCCACCTTCCCAAGGTACCACCAACCCCCCCCACGTCCTTCAGAGCCACTTAATCCATTCCGAATTCCACAAAGCCTGGCTCGGGGAAGCGCTGGGCCAGAAGAGCAAACAAACAAGGCAGGAATAAAGCCTGGCTCTCAATGAACGGACTCCGTGCGTGTGGCTGGGGTTTTATTCCTTTCCCCTCCACTTCTCCTCCAGCCAACCACCTTTATTTAATGATTGCATTTCACTGCTTGCCCCATAACAAAGCCATCACCTCCGGGAGGACAAGTTACAATCACAAATTACCACCACAATTAGCCCTAGTCCTGAAGAGAAATCAGCAAAAGGGGGAGCGGGGAAGGCTCCCGCGCAATTGATGGCTATTCATCCTGCTGTACGGTGACCTTGCTCTGGAGACGATGATATTCCTTCAGCCTGGAAAACAGGGTTTAGAGAGGGGAAAAAAACCCACCCTAAATGAATTAATTGTCAATTAACAGTAATAACACACATTTCCTTTCAGTTAATTGGAGCAGAATGAGGGGCGTGAAGAACAGGCGTTCGTTAAGGCCTGTACAGTTTAATTCTTTTTGTTCCCTTTTCCACGAGATAATGTAATTAATTTATCTTAGAGGAGTGTGTGTGTGTGTGGGGGGGGCACATGGAGGATAGGGAGAACAAAGCAGTTAACAGGCAATGGAAAAATTAAGAGCCCATTATGTAAATGCGGCGTGTTTTACAGCCCTGGTGTTGGGGGGGGGATGATCTGTATAGTGGGGTCTGAGGAGTAAGTCAAATAACATGATGCTGTGCTGGGGAAAGCTGTAATTAGGCAGGGCTGGTTGGTGAGGGCTCAGAGGGAGGTCTTGGTACACCCCCAAAGCAGAGGGAAAGAGCCCCATGGGTGCTGGGTCCCCTTGGTGAGGGTCCCATTTCAACCCCACAGACCTCAGAGAGTTGATGTTGATGAAGCCGGTGGCATCGGCAGGCTCGTAGTCCCCTTGCACGTTCATGCTGCAGAGAGAAAGGCACCAGCAATGGGTTGGGAGGTCCTGGGGGGCTTGGGTTGTGGTTTGGGTAGGGAGAGGATATGGGTGACCCTCTGGTCCAGTGCCTGCTGCTGCCCCTCCTCAGTTGCTGGGGGCTTGGGATAGGGTCCCCATTATCCCCTGGAGAAGGGGCGCGTGGCCTTGGGAACAGCAGAGACACAAGGTCACTCCTAGAGACACAGCCCCAAATTTCCCTCTATGGTCCCTTGTGTGCATCATCACCATTCCCCTCCTTGCATCAAGTAGGGATGCTCGCCCTGTCCCAGAGCTGTGCCCTGTCCCATGCCATATGGGAACACTGCCCATGTCAGTGTTCAAGGCAGGACAGTGGTGCTTTGGACCCCTTGGCACTGATAGGGTTTATGGCCACAGTGGCTGGTGCCTCACCCACAGCATCCCAACTCCGATGCTTTCCTACATCCCCAAAACACACGGCTCATTTCCCAGAAGCCACAAACCCTAAAGGAGGAAGTGGGGGGAGATAAAGAAGAAGAAGAAGAAGAAAAAAACCAGAAAGAGTTTACAACGATTTTACCTCCCCTGACGGGCTACAGAAAAACCTCTGTGCTTTTATTTTTGCTCATTCGAGTGGTTCTGACCTGCTCTATAATTACGTTACTTTCTACCTACTGTGCAGAGGCATTTCCACACAGCTCTGCCTCTCACAGCTTTCTCTCGGGTTCCTGTGACGCCGTCACTCAAAAGCTTTCAAACCAGCGATGTAGAAATCAAAAAGAAAAGGAAAATGGTTGGAGACGCAGGGAGAATAAGTGCCCCTGCTTTTCTCTCCCTCTCTCTTTTTCCTCCATCCCACCCCCCTCCATCCTCCTTTTTTTTTCTTCCCTCTTTTTTCTTTTTTTTCCTGATTTTTTTATATACTTTATTCATTTAATCTCTCCAAGTGAGAGTGCGAAGCATAATGAAGGGTTGGGACGGATTATTAGGAGCTGTTGATTTCGAGGGGGAGGGAAAGGGGGAAAAAAAGGCAGAGAAGAGAAAGAGAGAAGATAATTTGACATTTACTCCGACTGATCTAAACTCATTCGGGTGTATTTATGGCTTATAAAGTGTTTAGAGAGATTGAAAGGGGTTGAGGGAGGGCTTGGGGGGGAGCGACTGCAAGAGAGAAAGAGAAAACAACACGAAGAAAAGGGAAAAACTAGAGGGGAAAAGAATAATATTGACTTGAAAACATGGCTCGTGCTTTGGCTGGGAGGATGGCGTCACTGGGGATGGGGTAAGATGGGATGGGATGGAGCGGGATGCAACGGGACGGAGTACGACGTGATGTGATGGAGTGAGCTGGGATGGGATGCTCGCTGCCACCCACCCCGGTCCCCCAAACCCCGCTCACCTCACCAGCTCCTCGTTGTACAGCGAGCGCGGGGACTCCCTGCCCAGGATGTAGACCTGCCCCTTGAGCACTGAGAGGCGCACGGTGCCCTCCACGGCCTCCTGCGAGCGCCCGATGCACTCCCGCAGGAACTCGCACTCAGGGCTGTGCCAGAAGCCTGCGGGCAAGAGGAAGGGTGATGGGGACAGTGGGCAGGATGGGGGGCCCCGGGGTGACCAAGCAGGGATGTGGTTGCAGGACTGGGAGAGGAGGTGGTGGGACCCCCAGGTTCAGCTCTGAGGGATGGAGACCTCACATCTGTCCCTTCCCTTTGGTGGCCTGTGGGTTGCCACTTGGAAAAGGAGGCTGGAACTGGCAGGTAAAGAAGAGTCAGTGAGGAGGCCATTCTGCTTTCAGCTTTGTTAAGTATGAAACTGCCACTCAACAAACACCATCTCAGGGGGGTCAGGTAGAGACAGACAGAGGGACACAGATTTGGGGGGGGATCAACTCTCAGTCTCCAGGAAGGGGTTGAGGTGTTGTCCTCTGGGATGGGCAGGGATCAGCGCCAAGTGGCCAACCTCAACCATAAGCTCTGCTCATGGGGAAGTTTGTCTTGTTCTCCCTATGCTCCCAGAGCAAGAGGCTGGTGGGACACAGGGAACTGGTGCTGGCACCCACAGAAAGCTGCGTCCAACCCACAGTCATGGCAAGTGCCCCCATGGTACAGTACCCCCAAGAACCCCCCAGAGCTCAGACAACAAGTGCCCAGGCTGGGTGTTGGGGTGATGTGTTCACACCGCAGCCCCCCATAACAGCCTATGGGAGCAGCCCCTCACATTGCCATCCACCGAGGCCACCTTGGGTGCACAGAGGGGCTGCAGCCCTGCCGGCTATCCCTCTGCCCCCTCCTGTCCCTAAGCGGGGTAATTAACCAGGGAGACCTGGAATAAAGCCTGGGAGATGGAAAGGGAGATAGAGGTGGAGAGAGAAAGAGCCCATTCACCACGCTCCGGTCAGCCCCAGGTTTTATCTCCCCCATCGCCCCCCGCTCCCGCACACCGGTGCCCTCTCACCTTTCCCTTCCCAGCTGCGCTCCCACCGAAGCCATTAAAGCAACAAACAGTTCCTTTTGTGTTTGCCCTCATTGGCCCCTGAGCGGGGCCGTATCCTGCAGCCTCATCCCTGGGATCCGCGCAGCCCTGACCCAAAGCACGGCATCAGAGCCCTGCAGCCCCTCACCGCTGAAACCACATCCCTGACCCAAACCCCACCATGGCACATCCGAGGGGTGCGGGGACCCCATCCCGTCAATAGCACTGCCATGCAGGCAGGGAGCCCGCATCCAGGCAAATACACCCCTATTTAGGTAACCACCCCCCCAGGTACAACTGTTCAGCCATCAGGATTGATGCAGGGCTGTTGCATCCCTGTAAAAAGCAACCCAAGACACATTGAAGTAATAACCAGGTACTTAAATCCTGACTCTGACAGCTCCAGGTGTGAGGAAGCATCCCCCCCCCTCTCCTCCCCCCCCACTGCACACACATTCCCCATTGGAAGCGGATCCCCCTTAATGACCTCCCTGCCTTATAACCTCCATCCTCCCCTAATCACAGTGCGGGTGGAGGGACAATGGCATTTCCACACCTGGCTGTACCTGCGGGAGGGGAACTGGCTTCAAAGCCACCCCTCCACAATGGGATCAATGGGATGGGGGGGAAGATAAACACTAATTCTCCTAAAATCAGGACTAGTTGCAATAATGAGGTGTTAAAGGAAGGTGAGCTTGAAAGCCTGGCCTCCGGCATGGGGACCCACGGGTGCTGTTTGCACCCCTTTGAGGGTGTTCCTCGGACTTGGGCTCAGCTGCTAAGGGACCACGCTGAAAATCCATGGGGATTCAGCATCTGGAAACAGCAGCCTTCGCCTGGCAGAGGTGGGGAGGGAGAAGCCAAATCGTGATTCCCCGTGTGGCTCTTTAATGTGGTGGCTTCACAAGTGAGTGGTGAGAAATAAACCAATGGGGTTATGCTCAAACTAAGAAATAGAATAGTCAAAATGAAGGCAGTGCAGGACTAAGTCTAATAAAACCAGCCAGAGGCAGCAACAGCATCAGAGAGCGAATCAGAGGCTGTGATTCAAGGGGAAGGTAACCAAGATGCCTGCAGCACCAGAAGCTCTTGCCCTGCCAAGGCCCTAAGTATGGTCTAAGCAGCAAAGAGGCTTGAGCACTGAAGAGGGAGATACAGGAGGGAGCATCCTTGAAGGGGAAGGTGCTGAGGACAAGCACAGGCATCAGAAATTAAAGGGGCGAAGGCAGCCTGACCCAGTCCCACTGGGTCTGCTGCTCCTGAAGCCCAAGCTCCCAGAGTCAGGTTGTTTTTGTGGGATCTTCCCATAGAAGATCACAAGGGAATCATGCCAGCCACCGTGCTTAGAGGGAAATGCCTAGAAAGAGATGGGAGGGGGAATTGGGAGGCTGAGAGATTAGGACATAGGAAAGATTGAAGTGTTTGGCTGAGAGACAGGAAAATCTGAGGGCAGGGGAGAATGCAAGGACATCAGCCCTGCACTAGACAGGGCACAGGACATGGGGGCACTCCACTTGGAGCCATGCAGCAGGCACTGGCTGTGAGCAGCAGGGTTTTGAACCCACCTACGGCTCTTTGGGCTAAACCTGCATCCTTCAACTTAGCACCAGCAGCCGGGTCAGGGCTGATCCATGGAGCAGACCCTGGGGCAGTGCTGATGTCCATTCCCGGGGGTGCCATTCCTGGTACCCCAAAGCTGGCAACACCCGCCCCAGCAGCGCAGGGCAGGGACTGAGCTGAGACCCCTCAAACTCATCACACGTGAACAGACCCACACTGCAGGAAGGAAGGGCAAGGGGCCTGTCTCTGTCCCTAACTGCTGGTGACAACCAGTGTCCCCTACCCCCTATGGCCCCCGGCCCATCCCAGGCAGTGCTGTCCTTGCCCAGCCTGGCCATGCTGGGAGCCCCTCCTGTATCCCTGCAAAGCCACAACCCGCAGTGCCGCTGTGTGGGCTGCATGTCACATAGCACAGCCAGGACCCTGCCATCCCATAGACCCTGGACCACGGTGGCTGGAGGGACACAAAGGAGCAGAGAATTAGAGCCTGTGAGATGTGAATGTGTTGGACGGGGCTGCGAGAGATGCCTGGAGCATCCTGCATCTGCAAACCCTCCTGGAAGGCAACATCACCTCCTGGAGGCAGGCATAGAGCTTTTTTGGCATGAAAACAGGCAGAGTACGGGGTCAAGCTCAGCCCTTGGCCTGAACAAACCCATTTTCAGCCTTAAAATCCACACCTGACTTTCACAGCACATGTACACCAGCAGGACCTGCGGCCGGCAGTAGCAACAAGGGAGGAAGAGGAGGAAGGTGGGGAGGATGCTGCGGTGGCAGGGATGGACTGCAGGACCATACATTACCATTGTAAACCAGCTCGGAGAATTTCAAGGCGAGCCCCTGCTTGATTTTCCGTACTTCCCGGTCCATGGTGAAGGCCTCGATATCTAAATGCGCGTGGTATAGGATCGTTCCCGCTGGGGTCTCATAGATACCTAGCCATTTTGCCAGGCAGGGGGAAAAAAGGAGAAAAAGAGAGAGAAACGAATGAGGCCAAAACTGTCAGCCAATGACAAAAAATAATGACTTGGCTGACAGAAGGAGCCGTGGTCGAGCGCATTCAGTCCCGGCTCGCTGTAAAATGCATCTGTCATTATATTCACGCTGGGGCCGAGACAGTCCACTCCGCACCTTGCGGAGAAAATGTCTAGATTCCCCTCTTTGAAGAGGCACTCTGAGGAGGGTAAATGACAGCCTTTGGGAACAGATCCCCCCGCCGGTCCCTGCCCAGCGCTGCGCCGATGAAAACCTGTAATTAAAGGAACGATGCGGGGCACAGGCACGGGGAGCGAGGGCCTGAAATACCCTCCTCTCCCCTCGGTCACTGGGAAGCAATGAGGCTACCTGGGGGGCTGGGAGGGCAACCTCATTTGGGGATGGCAGGCCTCCCCCCCACTCCTTCCCATTGCACAAGTCCTGGGGATGGAGGGATGCTTATTATTTTGGTGATGGGGGCTGACGCTGCGGGTGAGCTGCTCCCTTTGTTGCAGCTGCTCGGGGATTATTTGCTGTATAACGTGTTTACTTGGTGCTTAAATATCATAGAATCATAGAGTCAACCAGGTTGGAAAAGACCTTTAAGATCATCAAGTGCAACCATGAAGATGAGGGTGGCCATAGAGTGGCTTCAGGTTGGATGTGGGTGGAAAGATGTAGTGGGGGGAATGCTGAGATAGTCTGGTGGGGATGTTACCACCAGCACATCCCCTGCTTGTCCCCTCCCAATGCCGGGCATCTGTGCAATGGCACAGCCATGGGAATGGTGAAGGGAACCTGCACAGCTGGGTTTTGCTGGCACATAAAGAAACCCTATAGGAAACCATACCTGCCAAAGGGGATGTCCCCGCAAACAGCAGAGAGAGGGGGTAAGAGGAGCCCATGGGCACTCAAAACTGCACCGGGTTCTGCCCACTCTGCTCTGGAGAGCAGCACAGGCTCAAGTGAGTCCTGTCCCGGGGTAGCCACAGCCCCGTGGACACGGCAGGAGCCCTGTCTACTGTGGCAGCCCAAGCCCCTTCATCAGAACTCATCCCTACCAGTGTCCATGATCTCAGCATCCTACAGGCACAGGACAGGCTCCGACTGTCCCAAAGAAGAGCTACCCCCTCCTCTCAGGTCATCCCAGCAGTGCTGCAGACTGGTTCCCAAAGGCATCCACCCATCCCCACAGTGCTACAGGAGGAGACAGCCAGGTTAACACCAAACCCAGCCATCCCCATGGACTTGGTGAGCACAGAAGGCTGCTGTTTGCCCCCTCCAGCCCCTGACCATGAAGCCCAGATGCCACTAACACAGTTCATATTCCCTCACCTTCCCCTTAGGAGGTGTTAAACCCAGTTTGGACTGAATGAAGACACGGGTTTATGCCTTGACCCCTACCTCCTGCCGTTTGCCTGCGCCCCTGCCTGTCCCATTTGACCTGATGCTAAAGGACCACAGAGCAGAGCGTGACAGCCAGGGCAGAGGGGAGAGGAGCTGACATCCAGCCACCGAGGCGACAAGAGACACCTTCAAAGTGACACTCGCAGCGTCTCCAAGTGTCTATTTTCATCTCCCCGTGTTTACAGGGAAAAGACAGAGGTGTCAGCACCGCAGCCTGGCGATGCTTCAATCACCCCGTAATTACTACTGGGGAAGGGGGGGGACTTGCAGGGGGGCAGCCAAGGAGACAGCTGCTGCTGCTTAAAATCTGTAACCTCTGCTGTCAGTTCCCCTCCATCCGAGCCGTTCTGCTGTGCTGAGTGCGGGCTGGCATCCCTGGGACAGGACGGGATGCGGAGGCTTCCCGAGGGGAAGGGGACGGCGATGCTGCCCATGGGAAGATGCTGCTGGTGCAAGACTGGGGCCAAGCGTGGCCTGCTATGGGTTCATCACAGGGAAAGGGTTTAACACCTTCCTCCTCCATCGGTGCATTGAGGGGAGGGAAAGGGAAAAGGAAAGGGGAGAGAGAAGGGGAGGAAAAGCCGCAGCTGAAGGCAGCGCTCGGCTCTTTTGGAAGCAGCCGTCCCCTCCTTCCCGCTTCCTCCCCACTGATTTCATTTACTTCACTTAATTAGCCCCCCTTCGGAGTTAAAAAGATAATTTGATAATGAGGATGTGAAAGGCGGGGGAGGCAGCACCAGGCTCCTGCCTGCAGCCAAGAGCCCCCGGCTGAGCCATTCCCCCCCAGCCGGCTGCAGTGCCGCTCGCCAGCACCCCGTAATTAGCCACCGTCCTCCCAGTAAAACAAATATGGCAAAACCGAGTTAATAGGGCTGCAAAGGGTGGTGGGGGCACGCTCGGCTCGCCCCTCGCCCATTAGGCTGTAATGAAGTTCAATTAGGAGCTTAGTAAAAATCAATGCAAATGAGTTTTGCTCTTCTCCCACTCGCCGGGTCTGGGAGGTGAGGGAGAGGAGGCACCTTTGCTGCCACCTCTATGGCCATGGAGGAGGTCATGGTCATGGAGGAGTCTTGCTGTGCTGCCCGTGCCTCAGTGTCCCCTGCAGATTGGGTTCCCTGGAGAGAAGGGGCTCCTTGTGCTGCCCCACGTAACCTGCACAACTCAAGTCCATAGGGCCTCCACATGCTGCTGGGATTTAAGGGATCATGTCCCACCTGCAACCCCAGGTCCTGTCTCCTCTGTTCGGCCTAACACTACTGGAGTCCAAAATGCTCCTGGCATTGAGGTGGTGGAGCCACCCTGAGCTGTTCTGCATCCCAAAACCAGGTGGGTACCAGCAGCATCCTCCTGCTCCATCCTGCTCCTGGCCCATCTCTCAGAGCAGTTTTCTGGGAGGTTTCTCTTAATCCCAAAGAACAAAATGGGGGCAGGATGCTGCTCACAGCAAGGGGGAAAACCCACTGTCAAGGCCTGGTTCTGGTACATGAAGCACTCAACCTTGTTATCCCCACAGCAAGCCCGGTCCTCCTGCATCTGCCGGCACACACAGAGCACCGATTGCTTGGCAATGTCACACAGGAGACAGACATGACAGATAAATGGGGTTTAGAGAAATTATTGGATGCTGAAGGGTCACTAGAGCTTGTCAGTGCCTCTTAGAAAAATAAACCAGATTTTGACAAATTACTCAGCATCCTGCATGCAAATGCACAGGCTGATGCGTGCGGGGTTGGGGTTTGGTTTTCCTTCCTTCCTTTGGCTTTAATTCGGTTATTCAAACACACATCAAGTGATTTGGGGTTTTAGTTCTCGCCTCTCGGAGCTGATGCTCTCTGGTGCCCTGCAGTGGGGAGGGAGACCACAGGCTGAGCCTTACCAAAGTAGGTGCTGCTGCTCTGCACAGAGGGCAAGTGTAAAGAGAGGGAGCATTTCATTAGGTATTAATGGGATTTAAAACAAAAGAGCAGGGGTGAGGAGATGGGAAATGATGCTGAGCAACCTTGATACTTAGTTCTGCACGGGGCAGCTCGCTGCCTGCAGAGATCACCAATGAAGCTGATCCTAATGGATGATCAATACTAAGAGTCACAGCCTCAAAAGCATGGATAAATCAAAGAATTGGCTTTAAAATCCCTCAATGGCTTGCACTGGCCGCCTGTGCTTTGTACCTGTATTGCAGAGCCTTGCACCCTCCAGGACCTCCTATGAGCATCTTCGCACTGGAGACAGGTCTCACCCAAGACCTGGGTCTCTGGTGGTCCCCAGGCTGGTGCAAGCAGTGGCACTGGCAGCGAGCGGGTAGCTGCCTTCATTAGAGAGCAATGGGAAGTCCCTATCAAAGGGGCATCTGAAGCTGATGGGGATGAAGCAGTTGAGTGCTGCTGGTGTGACCTGAGCCACAGCACCACAGCGATGCTGTGCATCCACCACATCCCACCAGGGTTTTCCCTTTTGTGCTGTTTTGAGGGCAGGGATGGCACTGTCCATGGGTCACTGCTCACCTCTGGACTTCATCCCAACAAAGCGGTTCTCCACGATGTCGATGCGCCCAACGCCATGCTTGCCCCTACCAAGGAGAAGGGAGTTTGCAGCATCCACAGCAGGACACAAGCCGAGGGTCAGAAGGGTGGACAATAGGGGATAAACCCTAAATGACAGCATGGCCAGCCACCAGGAGCACTGGTGCCCATCAGTAATGACCCCCCCACAGGGCAGGTGACAAGGAGATGGATTTTCTCTCCTTTTCCCCTGCTCCTGGCTGTGCCACCATCCTTGTTTGCCACTTGGGCCACTGGAAAACAGACCAGGCAAGGAGACAGGATGCTCCACAGCTGTGTTCCCAATGGCCAAAGTCATTTTAAAACCACTTCATTAACACTTAAGAAGTGAATGAGAAAAGTTCATTCCTATTCAGTGCTGGGGGGATAAAGGCAGAGGCACAAAGGAGGATGGCATTTAGCATGGGATGGGAGGAGCGGGTGCCCTCGTGGGTGCTGCTGTATTCTTCTGCCAGCTATCAGGAACTGGGCATGGGGTGGCACAGGGCAGAAAAGTCACAAGGTGATAGACTCAGCCAAGTGTGTGCCCATGCCCCCAAAACCCCAGCTCTACACCTAAAAGGGACACGGAGTCCCCATGGGCATGCAGGGTGAGGTGATGCCCCCAGGATGCAGGAGCTGGAGTCCGGACTGAAAGGTATCCTGCAGGTAGGGATGCCAAAGGATGCCAAGGCCCCCCCTCACCCAGCCATGCAGCTGGGGCACACAGTAGATGCAGGGGATGTTAATAAGACTTTTTACCTCTCCTCATGCACAGAGAGCAAAGCCCTAAATACCCCCTTGTGCTCCTAGCCTCGGTGCCCAGCCCCACTTGTTGCCATGACTGGTACAAGTGGGACACAACTAGAACCCAACTGGGGCCATCCCATCCCCTCACTGCTGACCACGACCCATTGTGCTCACTGGGATGTGCCTGCTCCCAGCATCCCGCTTCCACCCCACACTGGGTACCACAGGGATGCTGCCATCCAGGACTGGGGGGGGGGGGCAGGATGCAGGGGACACCGTGGCACTCACGCGATGTCATTCAGGTACACGAAGAGCTCCAGTGCTGTGCAGTGAGTGGCTCCATCCCCAGCATTGGTGACCTTCACAGGGACACCTGCAGAGGACAGGCAGGATCAGCCGGTGTCAGGATCCCCCCTCTGGAACATCACCCCGCAGGCGTTAAATAGATGTGACAGATATGAACTCTAAATAACTTCTTAAAAAGGCATATCCAAGCTGGTGCAGGGTGGGGGGGGGGGCCACCTCGGGAGAGAAATGAAATAAATAAATAAATAAAAAAGGCCATAAAAATGTCCCATCCCCGTCCCCCCCCCTTTTCCCCCTCTTTTCTCCTTCTCTCCTTTTTAGGGCCTGTGAAATTGCAACCAGGCCCTTAACTAATTGAATTTCACGCTCCGCAATTGTCTTACAGCGCAGCACCTTCTGTCCCACCAGCCCCTACCCGCGTTGGGGACGGGGGGAGTGTGACAAATGGGTGTCCCGTCCCCCCCCCTCCCTCCTCCTTCCCCTACCAGCATGGGGGGTGTCTATAGGGGGACCCCTGCGCTCGCACACGCACGCACACGCACCCCGCGGCGGGGTGCTCCCCGCCATGAATTCATTATCGCACCTTTTCTTTTCCCTTTTTCCCCCTTTTTTTCCCCTTAATTTTTGTATTTGAAGGGCACTGGGCAGGAGTTGGGGGGGGGGGGGTTGATTCTGAATAGAAAAGAGGCATTTTTCTTTAGCGGTGTGAAATGAGCAATAAATGTATTAGGAAGCTGACAAGGGGGCTGCGGGGCCCACAAAGAAAAGCGGTGCGGAGTTGGAGGCTAATCCCCCCTCCATCTGCCCTCCTCATTACCATTTAACGCACTATCAGTTGCCAATCAGCCTCAATGCCTCCCTTTCTAGTCTTTATTACCCCCGCTACAGCCCTGTCTAGTGATGGGGGCTGTCAGCTCCCCCCCCATTGCACCAAAGCACCCCCTCCCTCCCTTTAAACCCCCTATTTTGCAGGGGTTTATAAACTCAGTTGTAAATTACTATTAAATGTAACTCGCGGCTATAATGAACCTTAAGCTGCTTCTCGGCGCGGGCCCCCCCACTCTGCGCCCTCCCCTCGCCCCGGCTCTTTCTATTCGCATCCTCCGGCGGGGAATTGGCCCGGGTGCGCTCGGCAGAGAGCCGACGGGGCTGGCGAAAGCTGCTTAGCCTTTAAAATAGTTAATAATTAGATTAAAACTTCAAATAAATTAACTAGGGGCTGAATGGGCCGCTGGGGGGTTGGGGGGGGGGGGTGCTCGGTGCAGGGGGATCATTATCATGGAGCAGGGATGCTGGTGGAGGGGAGGGGGTGATTCTTTGAGCAGGGGTTATCCCCAGCTTGGGCTGGGCTCGCTGCTGCTGCGGCTGCTGCTGCCGAGGATGGATGCTAGCATGGGGACTGCGCGGCTGCCCCATGTCCCATCCCTTGGGTGATGGCTCCAGGGCTGGGCCTTGCTGCTCATCCCTGGGGATGGAATGGGGTCTCCTTGTCTTCATGCAACACCGATGGCACCACTGGATGTGTCCTGCTGTGACACTGGCCAAGGCCACCTTTATGCCGCAGAGCAAGAGAGGGACCCTGTGCCCACTGCACCTTGATGGCTGGGGAAGGGTCTTGGACCCCCTTCTGCTCTCTTGGGGGGGGGGGGGTCACATCAAGCCCCTTGAGATGTCCCCAAGACCCTCTGCACAAGTCAAAGTCCCCCAACGCCCTGCATGCACCATCCCAAGCCCTGATGCCACAAGCTGGGGCTTGCCCTGGCTGCCTCTGGTCCTCATTGGGGTTTGCCTTTGGGGGACAGAAGCACAAAGGGGGCTGTGAGGACACACTTACCCCGTTCAAACTTGATCTCCAGCACATCCGGGGTGTCGGGAGAAGTGGCCGGATCACGGGTCTTTGTGTAGAGCCCAGGGGGAGCCTGATTCTGTGGGAAGGGAAGAGAAGGAAAGAGTCAATGGCATTGGCATGGCCAACACTATCAGCAACCCCATCCCCAGTGTATAACCTCTATCCCTGATGTGCATCTCCCATCCCTAGTGTACAAGTCCCTGTCCCCTGTGTATATCCTCCATCCCTGATGTGCATCCCTCATCCTTCGTGTATGTTCCCCACCTCTGGTGTACAACCTCCATCCCTGATGTGCATCTCCCATCCCTAGTGTACATTCCCCATCCCTGGAGTATATAATCCTCCATCCCTGATGTGCATCCCTCATCCTTAGTGTACATTCCCCACCTCTGGTGTACAACCTCCATCCCTGATGCGCATCTCCCATCCCTAGTGTACAGTCCCCATCCCCGGTGCGCATCCCCTATCCCAAAGCACGGGGCCAGCACCGCACAGCCCCGGTGCTTACCCAGGCCCTGGGAACAAAGGGGTTGGAGGAATCAGCCAATTTTTCCCCTCAACTTGATCTCATCTCTCCCTGGGCCGCCCCCTCAGCTGGAGGTGGGATGGCTGCGGAGAAGCAAGTCAGGCAGGGAAAAGCGGGATGCGCCCGCACGTCCCCGCGTTGGGGACCGGCTTATTCCGTGCTGACCGAAGAAAGTAATGAGGAGGCCTGACCCCAGCAGGTGCTCCAGGCACACCGGCTCTTTCATGGTGTCCCCGGGGTTAATACACACGGGGGAAAATAGAGGAACGAAGCAAAAACCCATTTCAGAGCACATCAACCTTTATGTATATTGGGGTTTATTTTCGCCCCCCTTTTAGATTTATGGGAAAGTGGCATCTTATCTCTGTCGGAGCCAGGCCACCGGAGGCTCGGGTGCTGAATTGCTGCAATTGAAGCGCATGCCAGAAGAGAGGGGGGGAAATGTAATTAAAAGAAAAAGCTTTCCATCCCAGAGAGCAAATGCTTTGCAATTTCATCTGACCCCAAAACATCTTGGGACCGGCGCTTGCAAAGCCCTGTCTCTAAAGGGATTTCAACCCACCCCCCTCCATGCAGCTACAACTATGGGAGGTGGAGGGGAAACTGAGGCACAGAGCATCCAATGCTGTGGGATGGGAGGAAACAGTGAAACACAGAGCAAGGCAGTGCTTGGCCAACATTGGAACGTTCAAAGGAGCCTCCACTGACCTAAAAGCCCCTGGGTAAGCACCACAGGTGGAGGTTCTCCAAATCAAGCTGCTCCTGTAACTGGTTTAGTGATGGTAACCTCGTATTTCCCCTCAAAATGTGGCTGATTGGAGCCGGGGCTCTGAGCATCCCTGGGCAGCAGGGCCCTGCCTGCACTTGGGGCTGCCCTGGTTTCTCCTCTGCTTTATAAAGCACAACTCTTCTCCTGCTCGCTTTTCCTCCCTTCTCTCCCCCTTTCCAATAGAAGGACAAAGTAGAAAGCCAGTTAGAACAGAAAAGCAGCAGTGATTGCTGTAAAACAATTTTAAGCTTTTTAAAGGGAAAATAAATTCCCCTGTGGAAGTTGTTTTGATCCGATATTTTTGAGGATGGGCAATAAGCGTTTCAGTGAAAACTTCTTTTTGTCCCTCACAAAGCAAAGCCCCATCCCTGCACACCCCCTTACCTCACTGCATACCCCAGGACACACATCCCAGCAGCAACCGCTGCCAAGCCCCAGGAATAGAGACACAAATCCCCAGCAAACCCAGGCTGAGATGCCCATTTTACCTCATTTTTGCCCCTTTCCCCCTTGTTTTAACCACAAAGCACCTCCCTAGTGCCCCCTGCGCACAGATTACACGCGCTGAGGATTTCAATTTTACATCGGCTGGCCTTTCCTAGCCCTGATCACACTGATTAACCAGACAAACCTGCACGAGATGATGGAAAACTTGGAGTTCAAAAGGAAAGCTGCACGGAGGGGAACACTGGAAAGTATTAAAAACTCTTTACTAAACATTGGAAGTCAAAGTCAGGCAGTTTCCAATTTTCCGAGCCAACTACGAAAGCCCCTATTAAATAAAATAACTAAATAGAAATAAAAGTGACATTTGGCTTGCATTCCATCATTACTGGTGCGAGGCTGTCCTCTTTTTATTCTCCCTCCTAAAAGCACAGTTCAAATGACAAATAGTTTGTTGCAGTGTATCAATGCCTTCTATTTATCCCTCCCCGCAGGGGGGCTAGTCCTGCAATGTCATCTTTAAAGAGGAAAGAAGGGGGGGGAAAGAGGGGGGAAAAAGGGAAGAGTGTGTGGAAAGAGAGAAAGGGAGGGGGGAAGAAAGAAGCAAGAAAAACGGGGCAAGAAGAGAAGAAATTGGAAGCAAATGGTCCATGAAGTAAACCATGATGCAGAGCTATCGATGCCGCAAATGGTTTATTCATCCGGCTGATATTGTTGTGCCCGGGCCTGAATGAACTCTTTCAGAGTGCCATATGAAGTTAAAGCAAGTAAATTTCTATCTTTCTCCGCATTAGCTGCCTCATTGCCCTTCAATCGGGCCTCACAGAGGCAGAAAATAGCTCAACCATCTGCTTTCAAATCCCTGCGTTTGGCAGGTCCCGGGGGTTTGGGGAGGGGAACCCACCGTGCCTGGCACCCCGGATCCTGCCACGGTGCCTAGCACTGCTTCCCGGGATGGGGAAGGGGATGGTGGTGATGCCATGCTCCTGGAAGCCACCTCCGGTGCTGGTGGAGGGAGAGGTACCCGAGTGGAGGATGCTCAAGGGGGTCAGCGCACTGGTTTGCCCTGTTTCCGAAGCTGGCTTTGGGAAGGAAGCAGGGTTGGCAAAGCCTTGGGGTTGGGGGTCTCCCCCAAGAGGTGCTGGATGTAGAGGGATCAGGATGGGCGCACAAGGGTGCAGGGTCAGACCTCCACTAGCTCCAGCTACAGGCATGAAAACCCACCCCTGTGCCAACTGGAAGAGCCCCCCCTGAGGACCCAGCTTTGCAAAGCCTGACCCCCAGACACCCCTCCAGAGGGCACTGAAGAGGGAGCAGGACCCCTTTTCCACCTTCCTCTTCCTCACATCCCCGCCGGAGGCACGCGCCTGTGGTGCGCAGGCTGCGGGCACTGAGCTCCATCCAGCTCCTGTCTCTCTCCCCCTCCTCTCCCTGATTGTCTCATTAGCACTGATGGATAGTTTCAGGAGCATCGTGACCCGCTGGAGCATGAACCGTGCAGGCAGGGGCCAGCAGGCAGCCGGACCACAAGCACTGCTGAAGGCAGTGCTGGACCCGCACATAGAATCAGGTACGGAAAACACCTTTAAGATCATCCAGGAGTGATGTGCCATGCTCACAGACATCCATTGCCACCAGGCTCCTAGCCCTATTGCTAGGCAATGCTGCCCGGGATCTGGTGGTCCCAAGGGTCCAAAGCATCACTCTATGCAAGAGGATGTTTTATCCCGCATCCCTTTTGGTACTGGGGATGGGAAAGCACGGAGGGACCTACAAGCACAAGCAGGGGACCTGAGCTGCAGGGGCCAACCCAGACCTCTCCCACCAGCGCCTCATCTGTCTAATTGCTCCTTTATTGCTGCTCCATGACATTGTCCCCTCCAGTGTCACCCTGAAACGGTCCCTTCCCCTTTTCACGCCGGCGGCAATTAACGTGCCGGGAGAGGCAGCAGGGCCTCGGCACCATGCACGGCACCGTGAAATTCCCAATTAGGCTGCAAGCCCACAAGACACCCGGGCCCTGTGGCTGTGATCCATTACCTTGGGGTTCTCCAGGATCCCGGCTTCGTAGCTGCAACAGGCAGGGAAGGAGAAAGAAATCACTGCAGCACCTGCGACCCCAAAACCCAGCAGGACAATCCCTCCCCAATCCCAACCACCCCATGGGGATGGATGTAAATACATGTAATGGGCCTCCAGGGGCTTTGAGCAGCAGCCCTGCAAGGAGTACCAGGCTTGGGAGCTGGATGCTGCCATGGGGGACATGGTCAACAGGGCAGAAAGGAAGGTTGGAGGTTTTGGGGTCACTCTTACCCAGCATGTGATAGGGCAGCTCTGTGGGTACAAGGAGCTGTCCTGGCCATGCAGCACAAGGGGAAATGGGGCCACAGGATCTGGGTGCTCACCCCATAGGAGCTCCCCACCCGCTTGGCCTCTCACCTGATGTGCATGAGGTTTTCATCCATGCTCCAGGGTGTCTGGGGCGTCACGGGCACGGGGATCCCGTGTTTCTGCAGAGAGAAGAGGAACAGAGAAGGAAGTGAGACAGTCCCCAGGGAAAACCAGCACCAGCTCCTGCTGAGGTCAGCCCAAAAGCACAACTCTGTGCTGTGCTCCATCAGCAAGGTGGGCATCCCTATCCCTGACCCTGGGCAACATCAGCTCTCACCATGAGGGCTGCCTTGGTGATCAGGGACATGGTGTGACTGGGAGGAGAAGCACCCCAGGAACGCCAACGATGGAGATGCCAGCAGGGATGCTGTGTGCTTTTCCCAGCTCCAGTAGGATGCATTCCCTCAGTTGGGCTCCTCAGCAAGAGGAGGTGACGTGGGCACAGAAGTCCCCACAAACACCGGATGCTTTGCAGCCTACACAGGACTGATGCTGAGGGCAGGGGCAGCACGCTCATCCACACAGCCTCACACAGACACACAGTGATGCAGACACACAGCATCATTCCCAGGAGCCCACGGTGCCCACGGACACAGGGCCCCAGTTGGCTGCCTCCCGGCACAGTGCCGAGCCCAGCTCCCTAACAAGGTCACAGCGCGCTCCATTATCCACTGACATGTCAATGGGGGAAATTGCCTGTGAAGAGGAGGTGAATACACCGGGGAATTAACGGGAGAGGGGATGGTGGCGAGCAACAACCGGAGCCAGCGGGAACATTGCCCACCCTGCCACAGCGAGCCAGGGATGGAGGATGCAGCAATGGGCTCCTGCTGTGCCCTAGGGGTCTGTACAGCGTGTGCATCCCCAGGCAGTGCAGTGTCACCACGGCAGGGATGTCAGCCAAGGGAATAGAGGAGCAGGAGCTGAGGAGACTCCTTGTTTGCCAGGGAGAGCGGAGGAAATGCTTGTGGTTGTTAAATTGTGGTCATCGACCCAATCGCCTGAGATAGGAGCAAGGTTCTGAGGTGCCTCCTAAGGCTGCGGAGGGACTGACAGCTCTGCTCCATCCCACTGGGCTCTTGCCTGCTGTGATGGCTCATCCTGGAGGTGTTTTGGCTTTGGCTGGTTGTGGGGATGAACTGGGAGCAGGAGCAAGGCTGCATCCAACCCCTGGGCAGCAAATCTAGAGCAGGAGCTGGGCCACAATGGCACGGATCCTTGCTTTCCCCAGCATCGGCAGAGCCCCAGGTGTCATCATGTTATAACTCACTGAGCACTGAGGCAAGCACATCAAGTCCTGAAAGGACCCGGCCACTCACCACCCTCTCCTGAGCATGAAAGAGAAGGGAAACCCCTGTTGTTTTTAACACTTCACATAACCAGAGACCAAAAGGTACTACAGACCCTCCACCTTTCTCTTTGAGCGGGGCCCCAACCCATTTCATTTCCCTTTCCCCCCATAACTTCCAAACAAAGCCCGAAGAAAACCCCCCAAACAAACCCCCCCCACCCCAAAACACATGTTCCATTTTCCATATAATAAAACCACGGCGCTCTTAATAACTCCCCTATTTGACAATTTGTTTGGCAACATATGGAAAGCTCTCGTAAACTCGCCCCTTCATAATACAACAGCAGATGGCAAACACAATCCTCGACACGCCGCTCTCAGCGGCCCTAATGGGCTCGGAGGGCTCCTCGCCCCGCACTGCATCCCTTTGGCTCCACACCTCGCCTTCACAGGGCTCACCCTTGCAGCCTTGACGGCAGCTATTTAAGACCTGAAGTAATTTTCTGGTGTATGCACAGAGCTGCCTTTTCCCTTTTGATTGATTGAGCCCGGTTGTCAAGCATTGCCATGAAGTCGCGAAGGAAGAAAGGTACCCTGGTGGGCACGTAAAAACCTGATGCAAAACTTCTAATATGTTTTATTGCAACTTGTACTTCAAAAAGGAAGGGACAACAAAGGTGAATGGATTTGCTTTGTCTGTTATGCGAGTCAGGGAGCTGGGACCCGTTTCCTTGGAAAGCAGGTTACATGAATAGCCAGGTAATTATGGAGCTTTTAGAAAGTAAAGAGAAAAGGAAGGGAGGGGGGATAAATCCCAACCAGAAGCTCCAGTGTGCTGCTGCGGGGATGCTGTGCAGGGCTTGCAAGCCATGGTGAGCATTCCCAAGCATCCCACAGCTGCGCCTAGCATCCCGCATCCATCCCAAGCATCCCACAGCCACACCGAGCGTCCCGCATCCATCCCAACACCGGTTCCTACCTCTGCATAGTACATCAGCTCGCGGCGCCCAGGGAAGCGCTGGTAAAACTCAGGCATCCTCCATGGTGCGATGACCTGGTAGTGGGAAGCAGGAGCATGAGATGAGGAGCCCCAGCCCCCCTTGTCAGCCACTTGGTCCCCTATTCCTTCCCCCAGGCTCCCACATAGGAAAGGGCTCCCTGGGGGAGCAAGGTCCCATGGGCTGTTGGTCCCACAGCTGAAATCTAATCTCAATGTTCAGGGATGGAGTAACCCAAACCCCTGACCCTAACAAGGCACTGGATGCAAGGGGGAACAGGCAGTATCGATTATCTGGCAGCTGCCTTGGTACTGTTTCCTTCGTGGCCTCATGGTGTTTGGGGTGAAAACAGGTCAATTAAGGATCATTACAGCCCCCTCAAATGCCAAAACGTGGCTCTGTGCAGCTGGCAGACTGTTAAAGTGAAGCACAGACTCTTGCATCCGTGTTAAAATTCCCCACTGGCTGGGGAAGGGGATAAAAGCTCAGGGATGGGGCCCCAGGGGGCAATAGTGGGGGGCTTACCTTGATCTTAGGACATAGAGCATAGCAGGTGAGCTCGAACCGAACCTGGTCATTGCCCTGAAACATCAATGGGAGATGCTGAGGGTGCATGGGAGGTGAGTGCCCACACTGGTTAAACTGATGGGGGATGAAGCATCACCCCTGGACCACCTCACTCAGAGCCATAGAGGATCCTCAGGAGAGGAGCATGACCTGGCAGGGCTGCAGGTTTGGATTTGGGGAAAAAAAGCTGAAAATATGGTTGGAAAGGAGCATTAAAGATACAAATGATGAAATAGCAGCTCCATGGCTTCATCCATGGAGCTTGGAGGTTAAGGAGCTGCTGGGTGCTGGCAGAGCACATGTGTGGCGGTGCACACGTGTGTGACAACACCTACGTGCAGCCTCTGACACGCTGAAGTCTTCTATGCAACACTGGAGACCTCTGGCATGGTGGGCAAGGACCCACCATTTCCCCACTCCTGCACAAGGCCACCACCAAATTCCCCTCAGCAGAGAATGCCACTAGGATGGGATGGGATTGCTGGCAATTTCCATTGGAAAACCAGGGATGAGAACCCATCTATATCCTCCATTCCCACAGCAGGAAGGGATGAAGGATGCCACGACCTGCTCTAGCTCTGTGCAGCAGAGTCACTCCTGGTCCCTCTCTATGGCTGGTTTGAACCCCAAATCACCTTTCCTGGTACTCCTGATGGCTGGGTGTGCAAAACCCTGATGCAGCTCCTTCACCCAAGAGTGGAATTCTTCCCTGGGCTGACACTCCTAAAGCCTGAACGAGCAGAAACCCAGTTTGGGCTATTTCACCCCTGCAAGCATCAGAGGACACACGGAAGGAAAGGGCAAGCTGGGGAGGAAGACCATGGTGTGCTGGAGGATACAGCAGCTCATAATCAAATAGCTCTGAACCTCCCTTTATCTTAATTGGCCCATGCTGATGAGGTCCCCCTAATGAGGGCAGGTAGCCAGGAAGGGGTGAGGAACAAGCCTGAGAGTTTATTGCTTCCAAGGGAACAGCGCTCACCAAAGCCTGTTTTCCACCAGCTCCAAGGGTGTAAGGACCCCCCTCCACACCTCCTCTTGGCCCCATTCGGGAGGATACATTTACAACCGGGCTGGGAAATCCCTGAGGACTATTACACACAAGCAAGTACATCCACCACAGCACTCATTTCCCTTACAGGCCCAAAACAAGCCCATCTGCTCGGGCAGTGGGGACACCGCAGATGGTCACATTTAAGGCTCCAGGGCCAGGATTGAGTTACCCACAGTCAGTCCTGCCTCTGCCTGTGGCTTAATTGCTTGGGGAGTGAGCAGAGCCTGGAGAGCACCCGAGGGTGCCCCTGTGAGTGGGGACATACGTGCTGGTGGTACCCAGGAGCAAAGAGGACATCATCGCATTGGGAGAGTATTCCCATTGAGCGAGGGCTTTCAAGAGGGGGCTGCTGGAGATGGGTGACATGGATGGGGAAGGGATATGTGGAAGCCACTGCAGCAGGAATGAGTTATTTCAGCCCTGGAGCCCCACAGTTACTTCTCTGCCCCATGTCCCAGGTGCCAGCATGCCCCTTGGCTATCTCCTGGCTGCACCTAACATCTCTCTTCTAGCAGGGCCCTCCCTATAGCCAGAGACACTCAAACCAGCCCCCCCAAACAAAGGTACAAAACAAGCAAGGTCTACACTTTGAGTCCCTTCAGGATGGGGAGCCTGGCAGGTCCTATGTGCACCCACAGCGCCCAAGGGCCCTGCACAGTCTTCTAGTGACAGTGCCACCCTGTTCATAGTGTCCCAGCACAGGGCAGGGGCTGGAGGTGCTGCGGGGGCCCACATAGAGGATTCCTCCATCAAGAGCATCCTTTCCACGGTCTCTGGCTGCCTCTAGTGGCAACGTAGCCTCCCTGCGGCCGGCGGGGACAGCGGGGGATGGAGACCGGGATGGGAGCCAGGGATGGGGATCGGGATGAGGATCGGGATCCACACATCCTGCCCTGGGTGCCGGCTCGGCTCCTGTCCGTAGCAGCTTTCAGACAGCAGCTACCAAACCCAGGGTTTGGCCATGACCCAAAAACCTTCCCGATGGGGAAATGGAACCGAAATTGGGCAGAGAATTCCCAGAACCAAGAAGGAAGTGTTGAAAGGCGGTTGGGCTTTACACAAAGCACTGTGCACCCCTCCTGGCACAGCTTGGACAATGGGCTGACCCCCTCAGCCTCCCTTACCTTGCCAGTGGCCCCATGGGCAACGTACTGGGCTCCCTCTCGCTGGGCCACCTCCACCAGCCCTCGGGCGATGCAGGGCCGAGCCAGCGCCGTGCCCAGCAGGTACCGGTCCTCATAGAGAGCGTTGGCCTGCACGGCGGGCCAGATGAACTGCTCCACGAACTCCTTGCTGACGTCCTCGATGTAAACCTGCGGGGATGGAGGGAGCCTTGCGATGGGAGGGTGGCAGCAGGGAGATCCCACTCCTCCAGTGCGGCCAAGGGTCCCTTCACCTCCCCTTTCCTCCACTGCTTTGGAGCAAAACCCCTGGGAAAGGGATTCCTGGCACTGCCCACACTCCCTGCAGTGGCCCCAGCAGTGGGATGCGAGACCCCAAGGCTCAGTCCCACAGCAGTGAGCAGAGGATGCTCAGAGCCCCCAGGCACTCAGAGGGAGGGGGCACTGTTACCTTTTGAGCCCCCAGGGCCAGAGCTTTCTTGCGTGCTGCCTCAAAATCTTCCTTCTGCCCAATGTTGGCCTGGAATGGAGGGAAAAACCCAAAGCTGAGTTTGAAAGGAGAGCACAAAACACAGCGTGAGCCCAGGCTGGAACAGGGCATCAGGCAAGGCACAGCAGAGCCCATGCTGGCCGGGTTTGAGGCCACTCAGGATGGGTTCTCCCCAGGATGACAAACCATGGGGCCCTGCCACCCTCTGCCAAACCCCTTGGCTGTGCCCAGTGCACTGCCCTCATTAGCAGAAGGTTATTTGCTAGCAGGACAGGATGTACTGCACAGGGCTGGCAGCTCAGCAGAGCAGCACCCAGGCTGCACTGGGGTTAACCAGGGAGAGCAGGCTCACCACTATGGATGTGCCCACACCAGGACCCCTGTCACCCATCCAGGTCCCCAGACCCATAGCCCAGCATCCCCTCCCTCCCTAGCCCCTGGGGACAGGGTCCATGTGGCCGTGCTCAGCACAGAACTCACCAGGTAGGCAATGACACCATAGCCCTGCTCCTTCAGCCACACCAGGATGCACGAGGTGTCGAGGCCCCCGCTGTAGGCAAGCACCACCGTGCCCTTGGTCTGAGCCATGGCGCTAGCAAAGCAAAGGGGTTCATGAATGGGTTGCCCAGGGAGGTTGTGAATGCTCCATCCCTGGTGGTGTTCAAGACCAGGTTGGACAGAGCCTTGGGTGATACGGTTTAGTGTGAGGTGTCCCTGCCCATGGCAGGGGTTGGAACTGGATGATCTTAAGGTCCTTTTGAACCCGAACTATTCTATGGTGGCACCAGCCCCTGCTCTTGCTCAGCAAAGGGATGCTGCAGCCATCAGCTAAGAAAACACTTCCCAGTGCCCTGGACTGGCCATGGGCCATCACAGTCCAGCCAGGTGCTGAGGGCTCTCACAGAGTGGGATATTCTGGGCATCACAAACATTATCTAGGGGATGAATAACCAGGAAGCAAGAAGCACAACCCACAGCAAACAACACCACCAGTGGCTTTACTGGGTAGAAGAGCACATGGTGGGGGTGGGACAGGCTCTCTGATGCAAACAAGCAAGGGAAGGGCCAGGGGCAGGAGGAATGCACGCTGGGCAGTGTGATGGAGCACACCAGCACAGTGGGAGAGGTCCCCTTCGCTCTTACCTTTGCTCCATGCAGCTCTCTCAGCACAGCCTGCCCTGTGCTCTGCAAGTACCCTGCAACACCGGGGGCCAGGACTCAGCCGTGGGGGAGATGCAGCCCAATGCCTTGTTCAGGCACGACCCAGCACATCAGAGCCCTGTGCCAGAGGCACTGCCACAGCAGATGGGTGCAGCACCCACCAGCACTGCCCAGCCCCCAGTCTAATTAGTGCTTATTGGGCATTTGTTTTAATTACTGCCCCGAGGTTTCGGCAAGCCTGAAACACCTGCATGGGGGTTTGGTGCCTCCCTCCCTTCAGCCAGGGATATCAAGGACTTCATCCAACAGCAAGAGGTGAAGGATGAGGCAGCCCAGAGCCCTTGGGGAGTGATGGGGGTCCTGCTGTGGGAAGGGGCTCGGGGCTGTCCCTGCAGTCCTCTGAATCCCAGGGCCCCTTGAGGAGACGATGCCAGGTGACCCTTGGACCACAGAGCCAGCCAAACCCCATCCCATTCCTGCTGCCAAGTCAGCACAATCCTGTTTTGCCAGTGGGGAAGGCGCTGTGCCGAGCTCCCCAGCCTGGCCCACCCAGCACCTTTCCCAGCACGATGAGGTTATACCAGGGTGTATGCCAGCACGGTGTGGGGCCAGCATCCCACAGGGCACGGCTTGGAGCAGGCGCAGGATCTGGCGTGCTCCTACCAGTTTCTTGCTGAAAAGCAAAGGGATGGGGCAGCCCCATAAGCACAGCTCAGCTCCCTGAGCCTGCCCGTGCCCGTTGTGCTGCCTGCACAGCACCCAGCTTGTGCAACCCGTGTTTCCCTACCAGCCAATGCACTGAAGGGAGGCTCAGCCACCTTCCTCTCTGGGGCATTTACAGGAAGGCAAACACAGTTCCCAGAAGGGCCCTGCACCAGCTGGGCAAATTCCCTTCTTTACCCCCAGAACCCATCCCCATCCTGACTCAGCACCTCCGAGACCGGGCACGCTCACTTCACAAGTGGCAGGGCATCAGGTTAAGGAAACACATCCAAGTGTTGCCTGCTCAGACACGTCCTGCTGCCCACACGATGCCCAGGGGCAGTTTATCCTGGGGACACATCCTGCATCCCAAGAATGATGTGCGGCCACCAGTATTTCCAGCTCCGGTAATGAGGCTTGTACCAAACCTGCCTGCCCAGGAAGGGAGAGCCCCAGATTTTTGGTGGTAGGGGATAATAAATCAGAGCAAACAAAGCTCAATGGAGGTGAATGTGGCCGGGACTTTCTCAGCCCTGATTATTATTCTGTAGCCATTTCCGTGTGGGTTAGGGCAGGGTTTGGCCGGAGCGGCTGCCCTGCTCTGCAGAAACACCACGTTTCTGCTTTGAAACCAAGGGAAAAGTAAGAAATCAAAGGGGAGAGGAATAAAAAGCCTGAAACTTTGGTAAGAAGAGGAACCACCTTCACCAGCCAGGCTGGAAGAGGATGGGGCAGGCAGCAGCAGGGGTCCCTGCAGCAGAGGTATGTGGGGCTGCGCTCACTGGTGCTGGGTTTCACCTCAGCTTCACTTCTCCATCTTATAGGGGGTCCCCCCCCCGCATCCCCAAAGTGGTGACAACATCAGCCGAGGTCCCAGCTCCCCTCCCTGGGGATGGAGATGGGACTCAGTTGGAAACCTCAAGGGGCTTAACTGCACCTCCCAGCGCGGGGAAGGGGCTGGGACCCCCCTGCCCTGCTCCTGTAGGGGCCAGCAAGCCCCCCACCAGCACCCAGGGGTGCAGAGACCCGTGGCTGGGTGGGGAGGGGACAGGTCCCGCATGGCAAAGGGCCCCCTTTCCCCTTGCCCCGTGCCGTGCCTGCACTCACCCGCTCCGGGGCCCGGCTGCCCTGGTCGCTCCGGTCCGGTGCTTGGAGCATCCTCCTCCTCCTCCTCCTCCCTTATAGCCGGGCGCGGGCAGGCGGAGCCGCCGCGGGACTGTCCCCTCCGTGGGCACCGTCCCCAGTACAAAGGGGGCGCCGGTCCCACCCCGAGCAGGGGAGGATGTGCCCGGCTGTAATCCATCTGCTCTTGGTGCTGCCACCAACGTCCTCCCCTTCCTGACCTCCACAGAGCACCCCCTGCTCTAGGGAGCCCCACAGAGCTGCCTGCTCCAAGGGGAGAGAAAATGGGGGGGCAGAGGGGATGGGGCAGGCGGCTGTGCATAGGGCAAACCCCCCTTTCCCCATTGCATGTACCCAGGGGACCCCAGACCAGCAGCAGAGCAGTCCTAAGGGACAAGAAGCCCCTAACCCAAAGGACACAGCCTTTATAGGGGATGTCAGCACACCTGTGAGCTCCAGTGCCAGGATGTGCCCCTCACCTGGTACCCCACCCATCATTACACCTAATGGCTCTAAGCTGGGGAGCTGTGGGCTCAGGTCTTTGGGGCCAGCACTGTAAAGGAGGACTGAGCAGCTTTTGGGGACCAGCCTCAATCTGCACCATGTGCAGAGGGGCCACGTTCTGCTCATGCTGGCCAAAGGACCTGACCATGGGGCAGGATTGCACCTTCAGATGCTGGACATGGGCCATCAGCATTGTCCCATCCGGACAATCTGCCTTCTACAGTCCAAGGCCACACAGGGAGGTGTCTAAGACAGCAAGTCAGGGCACTCCTCCTGCATGCAGAAGGAAGCTGCTTTCTTCAGGGATATTTAGCCACAAAACACCTTTATTTAGGAAAATTCCATAAATAATTAAGTGTACACAGAAACCAAGTGGGCTAAAAAGAAAAAAAAAAAGGCTATTTCACTTTAACAAGGTTAATGCCAGGGAGCCTGAGGTTGCCCCAGCCCAGGGAATCCTAGAGGGACCCTCACTGACCCCTGTCACCCAGCTCATCCCCTATCCAAGGACTGATAATGGCCAAGGCCACTCCCGGGTGTGTTTGCTCTGGGCTGAGGGTTGCGACAAACCCCGACTGCAAGAGGCTGTAGGAGCACCTCGTCCCCCCCAGGGCCCTGCTGAGTCAGGGACCAGCCAAGGGTGAAGGCAACCGAGGGGTCTGGATGGAGAGGAAAGGCGCAAGCTCAGCGCTCCCTGAGCCGGGTGGGGAGGGACAGGAGGAGATAAGACCCCACCTCCCCTCCTGTCCCTCGGCGGTGTCAGTAGGGGTAGGGCGAGACGGAGATGATGAGGATGAAGATGCTGGGCGCCCGCTGCCTGCCCGGGGCCAGCGCCTGCACCTTGAGGCGGTGCGTGCCGGGGTCCCGCAGCGGGCGCAGGGTGAAGACGATGCCACGGCCGTGCTCGGTGCGGAGGGCGAAGGGGCTGCCCGGCTCCCGCTCCAGCAGCGTGAAGAGGGGATGGCGGGGAAGGGCATTGGCCTGGGTGAGGTGCACCACGGCCCGGCCGGCAGCGATGCCGAGGGGCAGGGTGAGCAGCTCGTACCGCAGCGTGGGGGGACCAGCAGAGCCGCAGTCTGGGGTGCAGAGACCCACACACAGCCTGCACGAGAGGGGAGGGGTGTCAGGGCTGGGACACTGCGGTCCATGGTGCAGTGGGGAGTGTGGGATGAGCACCCACAGCATCACTCACCCAGGGCTGGAGCCTCTCCGGTACCCAGCTGGGCACGGCACATCAGCACACTGGGCACCTCCACGGGTGTTGAAGCACATCTGGTCCGAGCCGCACTGCATAGTGCCCTCTGCACACTCATCCACATCTGTAGGCAGAAGAGAGATAGACCTGAGGGTGAAGGAGTGTCCAAGGATGAAATAGGGATTCAACCCCAGCACCCAACCCCTGCCTGGGCCCTCAGACACTGGGGCAGAGAGACCAAAGGAGGAAGAAGGAGAGAGTTGCAGCCCCAAAGGGGTGACACCCAGGGCACCATGGGGACTGCATTCACACCCCAAGGGATACAGCATCCCCCAGAGCAGGGGCATCCCCCCTGCACCCCACACTGACCATGGCAGCTCTTCCCATTGGGCAGCAGCCGGTACCCAGCGGGGCAGACGCAGCGGTAGCTGCCCGGGGTGTTCCTGCAGTCGTGCTGGCACTGCCTCAGCATCTGGCACTCATCAAGGTCTGTGGGGTGAGAGGGGTGAAGGCAAGCTGGGAGGTGTTAGTCCCCACTGCCCTGCAGCATCCTGGCTCTACCAACCATCCCCAGCACAGCCAAGCCTAGAGAGACCCCAACCCCATGAGCAGGGGCTCAAACAAACGGGGGACAGGGCAGCAACCGGCACAGGAGCTGCCTTTATGGCCTCTGAACTCCCTGCAAAGCCTTTCCCTGATGCACACTCACCAGTGCAGGTGCCATTCCTCCTGATGAAGCCCATGGGGCACGGAGGACCCCGGGCACCCAGCCCCACATCCTTTGCCACCCGGCGAAGGGCAAGCTGGGTGCGTAAGGACCCTCCCCAGGGGCTGCTTGGCCCCAGCCTGCCCACGGGGGTGTCCCGGTGGGTGCTGTCCGTTGTGTCCCCTCCATCCAGCTCTGCTGCCCCACAGTCCCCATCCGGCAGCAGGGTCCTGCCGGAGGGACACAGGCACTCGTAGGAGCCCCGCAGGTTGCGGCACTCGAAGGCACACGGTGGAGGAACCTGCAGGCACTCGTTTATGTCTGGGGGAGGAAAGAGATGGGATGGGGAAACCGAGGCTGGAGCAGGGCAGGAGAGCGACTGTGACCCTGTGCCCAGCTCGTACCCAGGCATGGCCAGCCAGTGCCCAGCGAGTGGTAGCCGGGAGGGCAGACGCAGCGGTAGGTCCCTGCAGTGTTCTGGCAGAGCTGGTTGTACCGGCAGGCATGGGACCCCATGGCACATTCATCGATATCTGGGGAGCAGAGACAGGGTTGGGGTGCTGGGGAGGTAGCACCATGCAGCACCATCCTCACACCCCCCTCGGGAAGGGTCCGTACCAATGCAGTGCAGCTGCCCAGGGCCCAGGATGAATCCCAGTGGGCACTGGTCTCCATCAGCTGTGGGAATCAAGGGGAGGTGATGGGAAGGGACAGGTCACTGCAGGGACGTGGCCTTTGTGCCCTCAGAGCCACCCAGGGCTCACAAGGGATCCCAGGTTCTCCATCCCCATCCCTATGAATCCCTCCGTTACCAGCATCAAGCGAGGCACGGAGCTGGAAGCGGAGCTGCTCTGAGGCTGGGTCATAAGAGGTTTTGATGGAGCTGGCCCGGACATGCTGCACCCGGGGATGCTGCAGGCCCACGGGGGGGTCATACACGATGGTGTGGTTGCAGCGGGCACGGATGATGTGCCCATCCCGCAGGAATCTCTGCACTGAGCCCCCCGAGAGCCGCCCTGTGCCCGTCTGCACATAGCGCTCATTGAAGTCCTGGGGGGAGGCAGGGAGCAGGGTCAGCCATGGACACCCCCCCCCCCAGGATCCCAGTATGAAAGAGGTTGCCCCGCAGGGAGAATGGGCAGCACCAGCACCTGCAGCAGCACCGTGGCATCACCGATGCTCTCGGGCACGGAGCCGCTGATCACGGTGTCCAGCAGCAGAGCACCAGCAGCATCCGTGCCCCGGGAGAGGTGGGTGACCCGCAGGAGCTCTCCTGCCACAGTGGGGAACAGTGAGCAGCAGCCCACAGCATCCCTAAACACAGCTCTACCTCCAATGGGAACCTCAGCCCAGCGCAGAGATGAGTCCCAGGGATGGGGCATAGGGGAGATGGAGGCTCCAGAGCCCCCAGCTACACCTGGGGCCCCCAACACTGCTCACCTGTGCCAAACTGCAGCTGAGATTCCTGATGGAATGTGCCCCGGGTGAGCAGGAACCCATTCCGGGCCTCACTGCTGGTGTGCACCAAGGACCAGTAAATGGGGGCGATGACAGCGACCAGCACCCGCATCAGTGGCCCTGAAGATGGGGGAGAAAAGGGGTCACTCTCCTAACATGCACCCAACCCTCCCCACCTACCCCAGGCTCCTCTCCCATAGGGAGCAGCACAGCTGTGGGGTGCTGCTTTTGGGGCAGAAAAACGCTAAAATGCATCTTTCCCTCCAAATGTACACCTGACACAGGTCAAACCCCTCCCTGGGCTGAGGGCAGGGCTGGTGACCTACCTGCAGCGGGGGGGATGCTGCCGATGCTGCTCCGGATGGCGGTGGTGCCGGACCGCGGGTCCTCCAGCACACGGGCATCAAGGGTGGTGGCACCGAGCTCATGGGTGTTGATGGCCCCGGCCAGGCTGCCCCGCACCCGGCGCGGCTCCTCTGGGGTGAGAGGGACAGGGGGGGTGGTGTTGGGGCTGCTGTCCCTTGGGAAAGAGGGGAATCTGCCCTCTGCATAGTTTGTGTGTTAAGAAAACCTCGTTTTCTGGGGGTGAAGGCTGCAAGCACAGCCCTCAAAGACCCCATAGGTCTGGGCAGCCACGTTGACGGGGGATGCTGCAAGGGTGGCTCCATGTCTTGTACACACAGATGTGCACCAAACCCCCCCCAAATTCTGCTCTGTATCAACCCCTGGTCCTGGCCACAGGCCCAAGCTTTTGTCTGCTTCTCCTCTGGCATATCCAGCATCAAATGCCAGCAGCCATGCAAGGAGCATGCAGAGCATCCTCTGTGCTACTGGCCAGCCTGGCCCTCTGCTCCCCAAGGGGGAGAGGATGCGCCTGTGCATTAAGCAGAGCCCCTGGGAAATGGGAATTGAATCATGAGCAGAAAGGCTGAGGAGAGGCAAATAGGAACGTGGGCTGGCACAGGGCAGCTGTAGGATAAGGATTTGACTGGGCTCAGACCTTTAGGTGAGCAGCAGAAGAGCAGAGAGGGCAAACCAGAGCATGGCAGGGGATTGGAACTAGATGACCTTAAGGTCCTTTCCAACCCTATTCTATGATTCTATGACTGAAGGGGTTTAGAGCAAGCAAGGAAAGACAAATCCCTCCAAACCACCCTGCAGGAGGTCTTACCCTGGGGTGTAACAGCACTAGGGGCAGCCCCAGCCCTGAGCCAGCAAGAAGCCCCCCAGGCTTTGAGCACCCTAGTCTAGAGGAAGGCGTTCCTGCCCATGGAACTGGATGAGCTTTAAAGGTCCCATTCCAACCCAAACCATTCCATGATTCTATGCAGCCGCAGGGGAGGGCACCCACCTTGCACAGCCAGGGAGGCATGGGCCACAGCAGCCCCCAGGGCGTTGCGAGCGAGGCAGGAGTATCTGCCCGCATCGGGGCGGGCAGCAGCGGGCAGCAGCAGCGTGGCATTGGGCAGGATGCGGGCACGGGGACCCTCGGGCAATGGCTCCCCATCGCGCTGCCACTCCACAGACGGGGTGGGCTCCCCAGACACGACACAGTGCAGCAGCACCCGCTGCCCGGCTCGCACCACCACCACCCGCGGCATCACCACCACCACGGGGGCACCTGGGCAAGGAGAGCAGTGCAGCATCCCAGTGGTACTGTGGCCATTCCCCAAGGGCCCAAAGGGGGATCGGGGAGGGCTGAGGGGTGATGTGATAGGCAGTCCCTCAAAAAGTGGGTGCAGAGGGGGCAGCACTCACTCTGTAGGGCCACGGTGATCACCTTTGCCGCTGTGCCTGCATCATTCTCTGCCACACACCGGTAGTGACCCTCGTCGGTGCTCTAGCGGTACCAACAGCATCAATGCAGTGCTTGGCTTTGTCATGGAAAGCACTGGCACCCCTTAAGCCCCACTCACCCTCACGGCTTGGATGGCCAAGGAGCCATTGTGCAGCAGACGCAGGCGCCCACCAGCCACCACCGGCACCCCATCCTTGCTCCAGCGGACAAGGGGCAGGGGGTGGCCCTGGGCGTTGCAATGGAGAAGGACATCATCCCCGGGATGCTCCACCTGGTAGGTGCTGGGGTCCCCCAGTATGATGGGTGCCTCTGGGAAAGGGAGAAGGATGGCAGAGGTAGGGGGCCAGCTGAGCACCCCGGTTCCCTGCCAGCACCTACCTCTGATGGAGACAAAGGCGGTGGCCCTGATGGCACCAGCTTTGTTCTCTGCATGGCAGATGTAGGTCCCGCTGTTGGCACGCGTGGCTGCCTCCCGTCTCAGGGTGCTCCATCCACTCTGCCCCGACACGCCATCTGTGGGTGCAAAACACCCAAACAGCGTGGTTGGGGACCAGCCATACAAACCCTACACACCCAGGCATGCCGGTGCTCCGGTAAGTGGAACAAAGCCTGGGATGGCAGCAGGACTGCATCCTCCCCCAGGCTCAGCATCCCCTGCCCGCTGCCGACGCACCGGTGATGAGCTGCCCGTTGGACATCCAGGATACTCGGGGCTGGGGGCTGCCCGTGGCGGCACAGACCAGCTCCAGCCGCTCGCCCCGGCTCAGGGTGACGTCCTGGGGCAGGCGGGTGAAGGTGGGCAGGGTGTGGATGGAGAGGGAGAGCCGGCGAGCAGCGCTCCCGGCCGAGTTCACCGCGGTGCAGGAGTAGCTCCCGGCATCCCCTTCCTGCATGGGGAAAAGGGGAGGATAAGGAGCGGTCAGCTTGAGTCTGGGGTCCAGCTGCAGCCGGGGCTCACTGCGCTGTGGCTCTGTGCACCCAAAAAGCCGTAGGTCATCCACTGCCTGAATCACACACTGCCCCAACCCAACAGATTGCAGAGGACCAAACAGGGTTTTCCCTTTCTGAAAGCAGCCAGGGACACGGCGTGATGCAGAACAACCCTTTCCTTTCAGCAGCAGCAGACACTTGTTTGGCCTTACAGCTGGCTTGGCAGCAGGAAGGGGTGGTCCTTACCTGGACATCCCGGAGCAGTAGGTCCCCGGAGGGCAGGACAGTGGCCTTCCCCCCACCGCCCCGCACTGGGGCTCCATCCCGGCTCCAGGACACGCGGGGCTCAGGAACACCACGGGCAGCACAGGGCAGCAGCACCTCCAGCCCCTCCAGCACAGCCAGCTCCACCGGGCCAGCGGCAATGACGGGGGGCACTGGATGGGGCAAGGACAGGGATTTGCTTGCACCTTCACAGCCACATCTCACTGCAGGGTGCAGGGGAAGGAGCAGAGCAAGAGGAGAGGGCAAGTGATGGGGCTCTGGTTGCTGCCTTACCTTGCACAATCAGCCTGGTCCTCCCCGCAGCAGTGCCTGAGGGGTTGCGAGCCACGCACAGGTAGGTGCCTGCATCCCTTGGGGAGGCTTGCAGGAGATGGAGCTGCCCGTTGGGGAGCACCTTCAGCCCAGGCCCTGCAGGGAATGAAGGGCAGGGTGTGCAATGCAGCCATGCCAGTGTGCGGATGGATGGTGTGCAGGGACTGCTTCCCACCCTTCCTGGGGCTTCTCCAGGGAATGGCTCCAGCGACCACTGCACCCATCCTGGTCAGGAGCTGGGAGAACCATCCAGTGTCACCCAGCACCCTGCTAGGACACCCACAACCCATGGCACCCAATCCCCACCCCAGGCAAAGGCTGCAGGCAGCACGGGCTCTGCCAGCCCCAAGCAGGCTCCCTCTCACCTCCGGCAATGCCAACACCATCCTTCAGCCAGGTGACCTCCGGCTGGGGGATGCCTGTCGCCTCGCAGGACAGCACCGTGCTGGTGTTGATCATCACCATCACCATGGCAGGCAGGGGCTTCAAGGCAGGGGGGTCTGCAAGCAGCAGGGCAGCGCTGCTCAGCAGGGCTCCCCTCCAAGCTGTGCCAAGGAACAGGGATCAGGACCCGCTGGGAGCTGCATGTACCATGCACCGTGAGCCGGAGGTGCTTTCGGGCCGTGCCAGCAGCGCTCCTCGCAGTGCATGTGTAGTGACCAGCGTGTGCGGGCAGCGCCTGCCTGATCTCCAGGGCCCCTGCAAGGCAGCGGAGGGAGGCAGCAGGCAGAAGGCAGGCAGGGACCCAGTGCCCTGCTGGGGCTGCGCTGCCCCGTGCCTGTACCTGTGGGCAGGATGCGGTACCCCCCTCCACGGCTGCCCAGACGAGCCCCCTCCTTGCTCCATGACACTGCAGGGGGGGGCACACCGGAGCTGTAGCAGGTAAGGACAGCAGGGGACAGCCGGGTGACCACCACGTCTGTAAGGTCATCGGCAATGGTGGGAGGCACTGGGGGGGGCAAGGCAAGAAGGTGAGCAGGGCTGCATGGCAGATGCTGAATGGGATTCCATCCCCATGCACTTGGGCATAGACATTGCTTTCTTTCTTGCCCAGTTCTAGAGAGGGGACCCAACCCCACAGGAGACCCGTGGCACCTGGGAAAGCTGCTCCCAGCCCTAACAGCTCACTCACCATGGACGGACACACTGAAGGCCTTGCGTGCCTCTCCAGCAGCATTGGTAGCGATGCACTCGAACCACCCCTCATCCCGGGGACCAGGGCTGGTGATGAGCAGTGACCCAGATGACTGCAAGCTGCATGGGCAGAGCATCGGGGTCAACCTCTGCCCCATGAGGAACAGGGAGAAGGGAAGGAAGGGTCCTATGGTGAAACCCTTTGGTGGGTGAGGTGCCCGGTGCTGTGGGTACCTGTAGGCGCCAGGCGGGAGGTGTGGGTTCAGGGGGTGTCCATCCTTCTCCCATCTGATGTGGGGCTCAGGGGATCCCCAGGCATCACAGCCCAGTGTGGCCGGCTGCTGAGCCAGCAGGGTGAGGTTGGAGGGCCCGGGGCTGATGGCAGGAGGGACTGTGGAAGCACATGGTGATGATGATCAGAGGATGGCAGCACATCATTGCACCGATGAGAGCTGCCCAGCAGCCATGGGTTGGACTGGGGTGAGCCCAGGAAGGACCCATCGGGCTCATCCACTTACCCAGGATGTGGAGGTCCAGGCCTCGCCAGTCGGAGCCGGCAGGGCTGGATGCCATGCAGAGGTAATAGCCTGAATCCTGGACCTGAACAGGGTTAATCTGCAGGGAGCCTCCTGGCAGGAGCTGCAGCCTGGGCAAGGAGAGCAAAGCAGCCCCTTGAGGCTCCGCATGTCCGGGCTGCAACACATGGGGACAGGCATCGGGGAGGGTGACACGTACCACTGCAGCCCCATAGCACGTGTCCACTAGTGTGGGGCCAGCTTTTTATAGGGGGCCGGTGCTCCAGGCACACCAAACACCCACTGATGGGGAGGGTGGCACGACCCGAGAGCCAGCTCCTGGTGCCCGCACAGCCCCGTACCTGCTGCTCCCGCGGAGGGGCAGGAGCCGTCCATCCCTCCGCCACGTCACTCGGGGCCCGGGCCACCCCTGCGCCCGGCACGGCAGCACGGCAGAGCCATTGAGCAGTGCTCTCACCTCCCCGGGGCCCGCCTGGATCTCCGGGGCCACTGCGGCAGAGCAGAAAGCCAGAGACAGGGCTCAGGGCATGGAGAGCCTCAGCCCCAACCCTGCCTTCCCACTACCCCAACCACGGGGCACCCCATAGCACTGCACAGCCCCGAGCTAATGGGGAGGGAGCGTTCACCGCTACCAAAGCCCCGTGACAGGGTGGCACTCACCATGGACCTCCATGTGGATGCTCCGGCTGGTGCCCCCCGGTGCATTGGTGTCCCTACAGCTGTATTCCCCACCATCCGCTGCCACCACAGCCTGGATCTGCAGGAAGCGTCCCTCGGCCAGGATGCGCCTGTGGGAATCCTCCTGACACCCCCCCCCCCAGAACCTTCCATCAGCATCTCCTCCCCATTCACCACCACCACGAGCCCCAAGGGGCTGGTTAAGGTGCACCCCAGCCCCTGCACCAGCCCAGGTCCCATCACATCACACACACCTGCAGCGGGGAGCCCTCCCGGTGCCACTCGATGTGTGGGGACGGCACAGCATCCTTTGGGCACTCCAGGATGAGCTGCCCGCCCACCATAGCAGTGATGCTGGGGGTCTCTCCGATGCTCGCCATGCTGAGAGGTGCTGTGGGAGTCAGGGGGTGGTGAATGGGTTGGGCACCCACATATTTGTCCCCATACATCATGCATAAGGCTCCCATTCTAGGGCCATGTTACCTTGGATGGTGATGTGGAAGCTCCTGCTGTCCTCCCCAGCAGGACTGGTCGCCAGGCAGGTGTACAGACCAGCATCAGCCACCTACACAGAGCCAGGAGAGAGAAACCCTGGGGCACAAAGAGAAAGTGCAAGTGGGGAGAAGGAAGAGGAGCCTCTACCTTCGTGCTCTCGATGTGGAGGGTGCTCTCATTCCCCAACACAAGCCAGGGCCCTGCCAGCAGCCGTCCATCCTTCTCCCAGGTGACAGTGGGCACGGGGACCCCCGTCACCACGCACGTCAGCTCTAGCGGGGTGCCCACAGTGATGGCCATCTCGGTGGGCTGGGACGCAGCCTTGATGCGGGGTGGCTCTGCAAGGCACACAGTGAGATGGGTGCGCTCATCCCCTCCTCGCACCCAAAACACACCCTTGCTCCCACATCCCCGGCGGACGCACGCACCCATCACCAGCAGGTGGAAGGCTTTGCTGGCCTCCCCCACCTCGTTTGCAGCCAGGCAGGAGTACACCCCAGCATCAGCCGGCCCCACAGCCCCCAGGCTCAGCCGTGGGGTGCCGCGCTCCCCGGTGCTCTGCCATGGCAGGGGCTCTCCATCCTTCAGCCAGGTCACTGCCGGTGCTGGGGACCCGGTGGCATCGCAGGTGAAGGTGACATCGGAGCCCTCGGCCACCATCTGTTCCTCACTGCTGTCCGGGCTCTCCAGGACGGGAGGCACTGGGGAGGGAGGAATTCCCTTTATAGGGGGTTATGGGAGGAAAGGGGGATGCCCAGGCACTGGGGATGTGCTTGGCAGGTCCCTGCTGTCCTGTGGGCACTCAGCATCCCCGCAGGGTCTGCCCTCCCCGAATCCCTCATTTCCCATACCCCGTATCTGCAGGACGAAGCTGCGATCGGCCACCCCTGCCCGGCTGGAAGCAATGCAGGTGTAGAGCCCGGCGTCAGAGACCTGTGCCTTGGAGATCCTATCCCACGGAATGGGAAACAGGGATGGGATGGAGACATCACGTCCAGGTCCCCCTCTGCCCACCAAAGCCTCCACACTGAGATGCAGCCACCTCAGCGTGCACCCCATCAATCAAACCTGGGTACCAGTCCCAAAGCCTGCATCCGAGCATCACTACAGGGGTGGCTTCTTACCGGAGAACATGCCCAGCTGATAACAGGGTGACACGGGGGGACAACTGCAGGGGCAGCCCATCCTTCAGCCAGGTCACGTGCAGTGGAGGGGACCCCCGTGCCTGGCACTCCAGTGTCACCATTGCAGACAGGACACCCCGGACCACCTCTGAGTCATCAGCACCTCTCTGGATGGCAGGAGGGACTGGGCGAGGGGACAGAGGGGCTGATGTGGCTGCAAGGAGCTGATGGCCCTGGCCCTGCCCATGGGTCCCGGCTCTGCTCACCCAGCACGCTCAGTGTGTGCAGCTGTGTGTCTTCACCTGCGCTGTTCCGGGCCAGGCACGTGTATGCCCCCGAGTCGGCAGCTTGGAGACCCTCAAGGAGCAGGGAGCTGCCATCCGGGGACATCCTGCATGGGGAGGATGGAGCAGTGACCTGTGTGTCCATCCCTAATGTGCCCATGGGGTGGAGATGCTCTGTGCTTGGTTCAAACCCAGGTTGCAGGGTTTGGGATGTGCTGCAAGGCCAGGGCAGTGGCTGGGACTCTGCCAGGAAGCAGGGCCATCCAGGGTACCAGGGCTTGACGCATGATGATGTTCCTCAGCAATCACAGAGTGGTTTGGATGGGAAGGGAGCTTAAAGCTCATCCAGCTCCAACCCCTGCCACGGGCAGGGACCCCTTCCACTGGAGCAGCTTGCTCCAAGCCCCTGTGTCCAACCTGGCCTTGAGCACTGCCAGGGATGGGGCAGCCACAGCTTCTCTGGGCACCCTGTGCCAGCCCAAGCAGTCGGAGGGGGAAGCAGCAGCAGAGCTCACCCTGCCTCGCACTGCACAGGGGGAAACTGAGGCACGGATGGTGCAGACTCACCGGGCGTGGGAAGGGGGCTGCAGCCGCAGGGGCTGCCCATCCTTCAGCCAGGAGATCCGGGGCGGGGGCTGCCCCTCTGCCTGGCACTCCAGCATCACCCCTCCGCCCTCCAGCACGCTGTGCTCACTGGGGACCCCCGCGCTGGTGATCCGGGGTGCCACTGCACCGGGGAGAGAGGGAGGATGAGGATGGGGAGGAAGAGGAAGGGAATGAAGGCTCCCTCTGATGGAGGAGCCATCACAGGAAGCCCTACCTCGCACCAGCACCAGGAAGTCCTTGCGTGTCTCAGTGCCTGTGCCCTGCACCAGGCAAGTGTACCGGCCCTGGTGGAAGGGCTGGAGGGGGCTGAGCTGCAGCTGGCTCCCCCCAGGCACCAGGCCCTGCTCTGGGCTGTTGTCTGCAAGGAGAGAGGGTGAATGAAGGTGCTGCAGCAGTGATGCTCCACCAAGCCCTCTCCCAGGGATACTATCATGCTCCACTCTTCCTACCCCCAGGACCCAGGTTTGGGGACATTGCTAAAGCAGAGGATGGGGTCTGCATTGCACTGGGCATCACTAGAGCTCTGCAGGAGAAAAGGGCCACTGGTTTGGGGGCAAACCCCTGTCCTAGCAAATACCCCAAAAGCTGGTACCTACAGGGCTCACTCCCGCATCCCTCCATCACATCGTATGCCCACATCCCATCGCTTTAAGCCTCAGCAACAAATCTGAGGCCTGTTAAAAATACGTAGGGAAAGTACCAGCCCCTTCATGCTCTACCCCCTCCCCTGTGAGGCTCTAGAGGTCTCTTGCAGCAGGATTAGAAATGGGGAAACTGAGGCAGGATTGCTTCAGAGAGGGTGGCAGCAAGGGTGGGGATGGCAGCATGGCCCAGGCTGTGCTGTGCACATACCCAGCGGGCTCCCATCCTTCAGCCAGGTGATGGCAGGGGCGGTCACACCGGTGACTTGGCAGGTCAGGATGAGAGAGGTCCCCATGTTGGCTTCGAGCATCTCCTGCTGCGGGTCCTGGATGTCAGGGGGCTCTGAGGAGGGGAAGGAGCAGGGATGGAAGAGTGAAAAGGAGCCTGATGTTTGCTCTCAGCTCTAGTGGGCACTTGGGAGGCAAAGCTCCCTCCGAAGCCCTCACCCCCTACCATGCACAGTGAGGATGAAGCGCTTCTCATCCTGGCCAGCTACATTCAGCGCCACACACGTGTATGTGCCCGAGCTGGAAGACTGCAGGCGAGAGAGCTGCAGCACCCGGGAGCCTGCAGGGAGCAGAGCAAGGAGTCAGGAGCAGGTCTGGAGCACCCCACAGGAAAGCAGCCAGCCAAGCTCTGTCTAAAAGGTGTCTGACCATCCAAACCCCGCTTTGAGGTCCGAGGCCTCATGGTGCACAGCAGCAAAGGGTGCTGAGCTCCTGGGGAGCAGCAGTGCAGAGTCTGCAGGATGCTCTCCAGAGCAGCAGGATGTTAGTGCATGGAACAGCTAAAACTCTGAGCTTGGGTGCCATGTGTGGCATACAGAAGGGCTGATTAGGAGAGCTAGAGCCCACCACCAGTGGCTATGCCCAGCCCCAGGGGAGAGGCTGTCCCCCTGATGTACCTGGAGTGAGGGTCACCTCCTCACTGAGCTGCAGGATGCGGCCATCCTTGTACCAGGCAATCTCTGCTGTGGGGTGGGACCGGACATCGCACACCAACGAGATGCTGCCGTTGATGACACCATCGATGCTTTCGGGGTTTGTGCCCGCAATCCAGGGAGCTTCTGCTCCAGAACACCCCAAAAGACAGAGCCAAGGGGGAAGCATCACCGCAGAGGCTGAGCTCTCCGCAGGAGGAGATGCACACCGAGCATCTTGTGCTGGCACCTCCTGGCACAGGGTAAGCATGAAAGCACGAGGAGACAGAGGCAGCCATGTGGTTTGGGAGCCACTGCTAGCAAAAGAGGAAGAGGAGGAGGAGGAGGGTGGTGAATCAGCAACCAGGGAAGGGTTGCTGGCAATACCTTACCCTGCACAGTGAGGGCAAAGTGCTTCTCAGCTGACCCAGCCGGGTTCTCGGCCACGCACGTGTAGCTGCCCATGTCACCCACCTCCACTGCAGCCACCTGCAAAGGGGGAGCAGAGCTCTGCTGGGGCTCCCTTAGGGACCTTGGCACACAGCAACCCAAGGGAGGGAAGAGCATCTCATTCCCTCCATCTGATCTCTATTGTGCTGCCCCCAGCCGAGGGGGACACCGACCTGCAGCACTGTGCCGCCCTCCAGGAGCTGATGCCGTGGGCCAGCCACAACAGGGACATCATTCCAGAGCCAGGACACCGCAGGCACCGGGTGCCCAGTGGCCTCGCACCTGAAGCGGACGGTGCCATTGATGGTGGCCGTCACCTCCTCAGCCAAGTCCTCCGTGGCACCGCGGAAGGCCGGGGCGGCTGGAAGCAGGCGGTTATGGGGCTGCCGTGTGCCTCCATCCTCTCCCTGCCCCAGCCCCGTACTCACTCAGCACCTCCAGCTCATAGTGCAGGCGGCCCCGTCCCGCTGCACCGGCTGCCTCACACGTGTACCTGCCTGCATCCTCCTCCCTCACTGCCGGCAGCTCCAGCACCCGGCCCCCTATGGCAAAGAGCAGCGGTCAGAGGGTCCCTCCTGCATCCCTGCATGTCCCACAGGCAGGATCCAACCTCCTCCACACTATGGATGCTCTCAACCCACAGAGCTTCTGCAGGAGCCCCCTTCAAACCCCACAGTGGGGGTCCATGCTTATTACCTAACAGCATCCGCACACCCTGGCCAGGGGAGAGGGGCTCCCCATCCTTGTACCAGGTGAGCTGGGGCGGTGGAATGGCGTTGGTGTCGCAGTACAGGGCGGTGGGCTGGTTGAGGACAGCTTGCCGGTGCTCCGTCACCTCCCCATCCTGGTCTTCCTCCCGGTAGAAGACCTCAAGTGCTTCACTGGAGCTTGTCTGCTGCTGGAAGAAGGGTGGCACTGCGGGGACAGGCTGTGGTCAGCTGTGGGGAATGGGGACTCGCACCTCCACATGCAACCAGAGCATCTGCCCAGGCCTGACTGGCACCAAGGAGATGCTTGTTTTCCTGCAGGTACAAGCTCCCTTCCTGCACACCCTGCTCTGCTCCCACAAGGACCCCACCAAGGACCCCTCCTCTTGCTGAGGCACCCACTGCTACAGGCACTGGCTCACCTTGGACATGCACGATGAAGTCCTTGGCATCTTCACCCACAGCATTGGTGGCCACGCAGCTGTAATGCCCCGAATCTGAGACACTGGCTGGTTTGATCTGAAGGACCTGCCCCTCGCTGAGGATCTGGAGGTGGCCATCGCTTTCCAGGAGCTGCATGGGCACAAGGCACAGAGGAAACAATGGTAGGAGGAGATTACACAGCCAGGAGTGGGATAGAGCCCAGCCAGCACCTCCTCTTTTAGGAGTCACAGTCAGGGCCTCACCTGCTTGTCCTTGTACCAGTGGATGATGGGCTCGGGCACAGCCCAGGTCTCACACTCCAGCATCACTGTGCTGTTGACCCTGGCTTTCACCTCCTTCACAGCATATTCCCCTGAAGGCTCATCTCCAGCAATCCAGGGAGGAACTAGTGTGGAGACATGGCACAGAGGAGAGAAGAGCTCTCATCGCCTTGCTTTGCCCTAGTCAACGACAGGCAGCACCTCGGGATACTGATGGACTCAACAAGTGGTGTCCTTCGGGGGTGTGTTGGGACCAGTATTGTTTTGTGCCACGTCAGTGGCATAGTGGGAGCAAGTGCACCCTCTCCTGTGAAAGACAGGCTGAGAGAGTTGGGGTTGGTCAGCCTGGAGAAGAAAAGGCTCTGAGGAGACCCCATAGCACTTTCCAGTGCATAAAGGGGCCAGCAAGAAAGCTGGAGAGGGGCCTTTGACAAGGGTCTGTAGGGACAGGACAAAGGGGAATGGCTTTAACCTGACAGGGGAGATCAGATGCTTTTTTGGGTGGCAACACCAGCTGCACAAGGTGCAGCTCCCTGGGATGAAGGCATGGGAAGGGAAGGAAGGAGCACTGGCTTGGTTACAGTGGGGGGATCTCTGCAGGAATTAAAGGCATGGAAAGCTCCCGCACCCAGGACCTTCACAGAGTAGTTCTTCATGGCCTCCCCGTCTCCATTGGCCACAATGCAGCTGTATGTGCCTGCATCCTCTTCTTGTGCATTCAGGATCTGCAGCCCGTGGCCACCTGGGCAAAGGGGGATCTCCTGAGGGGGTCTCTACTCACATCCTCAGCTCTCTATCCCCAAGCAGCACAGAAGGCATCCTAAGGGACCTGCTGACCACCCGCAAGCCTGACCCAAGGGGGTCCAATGCTCCTCTGGAGCCCAGTTTCCAGGTTTATGGAAATCAGTGCTATCCCACTGATGCTGCTGAGGACGCTCTATTGATAATTAGATGATGCAGCACATAGAAAAGCAGCATCCACCTGATGGGTCCTGCAGGATGATGACCTCATCATCCCATTGCCCTGGACCACAGCCAGACCAACGAAAAGCCCCGCTCCCAATCCCACAGGCATGCAGCAAGGGGGCACTGTGGTCATGCCAGCACAGTACCAGGGAGCAGGAGGATGTTTCTAGATGCTTTGAGGGGAACCTCATCCTTTAGCCAGGTGATACTGGGAGATGGGTATTCCAGAGCCTCGCAGACCAGGGAGATGGGGTTGTTGATGATCACCGTGACTTCTTCTGCAGCAGCAGCGCTGTGGGCATCTCCAGCAAAGGTAGGACTGGCTGCAGAGATGTATTTGTGCAGCTGATCAGCTTCAGCACCCACTTAGGCTTCCCAATGCTTCACCTCCCCACCAGAGAGCATGACCCAAGATCAGGGAGTTGGACTTGACCATACAGCATGTACAACACAAGTCCAGCTTCAGACTCTGCCCTGAGTTGCTGCCCTCCAAAACCAAAAGATATATACCCCTTTCCCATACACCATCATCAGAAACAGATCCTGCACTACATGGACCCTCCAAGAGGTCTCACAAGTGCTTGGGGTCACATCCAAGACCTTATGCCATTCCATACCAAGGGATCCTCACCACCTACCTGGGGTAGTCAATGACAAAGCCCTCTAATTCCATGTCCCCTGCTCACACCTGAGACTCTGTCTCCATCCAAAAGCATCTCATACCCAAAACATGTAGCAGGTAGTGCTTGGTTTGATTTGCCACAGAGCAGGAGTAGCGGCCAGCATCAGACAGGGAGGCTCGGGGGATGTGGAGCATGGAGCCATCAGGAGATATGGAGGTGTCCCCACTGGGCAGAGCGTGGCCGTCTTTCAGCCAGGTGATCTGGGGCTGGGGGTTGCCTGTGTGGGATGGAAAGCAGGTTTGAGCCTTCAATAGTGAAGTTTTTCCATGTGTGAGCACAGCCTGACCGGGGTCACTGCGCTGGGGCTTTTCTGGGAAGCCGGAACATCATCCCAAATCCAAGATTGTCATGATCTGGATGAGGGTTTTACAGGCTGTTGGATGAGCCAGCGAGAAGAAAGAAAACTGTCCTGAGTAGGAGGTGATTGATTATCCCCACCACTAAAGGAGAAACCAGATTAGAGGGATTTCAGCTCCATTTGGGAAAGATCGGAGCTTATGTCATGGAACAAGTTCCCCACGTGGGCTCCCCCTCCCCAGCACTTCCCGGACAGCCCAACTGCAAAGCCAGGAACTATCCCAAAGAACCTCTTCAGCTGCTCTCTCCCTTTGGGATGCAGCCATCCGTTTGCTCTGCACCCCAAAGGGAGGCTCAGGTCAGCCCCCACCTCCTCGTGCCACCCCGTGTGATGCTCACCCGCAGCCAGGCAGGACCAGGTGATGGGGTGACCCTCATGCACTTTGATGATCTCTTCTTCACCCACGTTCTCGATGTGGGGAGGAACTGGGAACACAAGGCACCAGGGACCTCAGCAGCTGGACATCCTCACCGAGCCTCTGAGCTCACATGCTAAGGCACAAAGGAGCCCAGCACTGCAGCCCCCACCGTGCCCAGTCTTAACTTGTGCCTCTTCCTGCAAGGATGAAACTGAAATCCTTAAAGCCCTCTCCTTACCTAGGACCTCCACGTAGAAATGCCTCCTGGCCTCCCCAGCTACGTTGCTGGCCAGGCAGGAATAGTGGCCACCATCCTGCGCTCGGGCATGGCTGAGCCTCAGCAGCCAGCCCCCTGGAAGCAAGGAGCAGAGAGGTCTCATGGCCCCAAATCCAGGCACCAGCACATCCCACAGTGCTCCTGCAGGGAGCTCCACCACATTTAAACCCATCAGCATCAGGGTAAGACGTGTTCCTGAAGCACTCATCTCTTAGAGCATCCCTGACCTGAAAGCACGTGTGTGTGCTCGCTGGGAGTGATGGGAGACCCATCCCTGGACCAGGTGACTGTGGGCAAGGGAATGCCGGTGGCCTCGCAGGTCAGTGTCAGGGATCCTTGCAGAGAGACACTGATATTGGTTGTTGATCCTTGAATGAACTCAGGAGGAACTGGGGATGCAGAAAACAATGGGCACCCATTTGCAAAGCAGCCGAGACAGCAAAGGAGCAAATCAGATGGGGAAAACTGGGTAAATCCAGCTTGTTCCCACCCTCATGCTTTGTGCACGTTGAGGACACAAGCCCAGAAGGACCATCAGCATCATCTGAAGTCATCAGCTTTGAAGATGTCATGGCACAGGTGACCCACAGCAAGTATGTGCCACTTACCTGCTCTCTACAGGTGTGCCACAGACCTGGCCACAGGCTCTGAGCTACCTCAGCCCTTTCTCAGCTCGAGTGCTTGGTGCCTTCACCCCTGAGTTTTCCCCAGGCCCTTAGGAAGTAGATGACTTTATAAAGTGTGAGATGGCCTGCTGTGATGGCCATGGGAAGAAACTCCTGCCTGATGGAGCCACTCCTACAGCACACCCCTTCTGACCTCCTATGTGCTGGGTTGTCCAAGATCTCCACATCAGAGTACATCAAACACATGGTGGGACACAGCCACCCTCCTGAGCCTGCCTGCATCCATACCCCACAACCACCAGCCCCATCCCACACCCTTACCATGCACTGCAACATCAAACTCCCTCTGCTCCTGCCCCACTGTGTTTGCCACCAGGCAAGTGTAGCGTCCTGCATGGGCCACCTCTGCCTTGAGGATGCGGAGCTGCTTCCCTTGCTCCGTAAGCAGGACCCCGTCCCCTCCGGCCACGGGGTGCCCGTCCTTCACCCACGTCACTGTGGGTGTCGGGGTCCCCATGGCCTCGCACTCCAAAACCACCTCGCCAGCCTTGATGACAGAAACCTTCCTCACGGCTTTGCTGCTGCCCAGGATCCTCGGAGGGGCTGCGGGCAAAGGGACACAGGGTGGAGGTGATGCTGTAGCTACCCCCTTATGTGCAAGAGGATCTACAAACACCATTGGTCTGGATGGTGGCAGCAGGAGGACAAAGCAAATGTGAGCAGTGACCGACTGCAACCAGCTTGGAGCCAAGAGGAGCACTGCGGGGCAAAGCTAGCCCAGCTAGCAGCATCCTTTCCAAAGCACCTAAGGCAGCAGGCAATGGCTGTGAGCTTTTGGATCCATCTGGACCATGCATTGAGATGGTTCATGGCACCTTCAGCCACCCCTACAGGTTCTCTGTGTCTCTGGCTCACCGTGCACCTCCAGGTGATGCTCCCTGCTGCTGCTGCCGGCAGCATTGCTGCACTCGCAGGTATACGTCCCCTTGTCCTCCAGCAGCACCTTCTCCAGGTACACCACGGTCCCTCCTGTGGACACCAGCTTCGGGCTCCCGGGATGGGTGGAGAGGGGCTCACCTACCCAGGGAAGGGACAGCAACCTCCTCTCAGGGTCCCAGCAGGACCAGTTCCCACCTGGATACTGCTGAACATAAACCCTCCTTGCTCCAAGGAGACCAGCATCCCTCCGGTGGGTCAACAAGTGCGCAGGGATGAGGCTGAGGAGCAGGACCCTACCGTCCTTCCACCAGCTCAGGGTGGGGAAGGGGATCCCATGGCACTCGCAGGCCAGCCTGACGGACTGTCCCTCCAGCACGGACACGGTGGTGGGCTCCAGTGAGGAGAAGGATGGGGGCACTGCAGGGGAAGAGAGGAGAGGAGCAGTTTGCTGACAGCACCAGACAAGAAGAGTCCTGATCACTGCAGCTTAGCTGGGCTATGCATAAAGAACCAGCAAGACTCCCCTGCACTGGTTCCATGTGGAAGCAATAACCTTGACTCTGCAGCTGTTAAGCAAGTGATGCTTTCAACTGCACGTGGCCTACAGCAGAGGACAACCAAGCATCCCGTGCCAGCCACCCTGGTTGGCCAGACGCAGCCCTATTAGGTAGCACTGCTTGCTGGGAAGGTTACCTAACTCTTTCCATTCTCGGATGCTGTTCTGAGTTGCTCATAAATACAGCTGGCTAGCAAATGGTAACTCCTTCCCAGGAGGGATATCAGCTCATAGAAGACAAACCCCAACACCCAGAAACCCCATGAAAACAAAAACAGCAGAACCCAAACAATCCACCCGAGCCAGGCCGCCAGACGTGCAAACGTTTCCCTGGGAAGGGATCGCAGGAACAAGCCCGGATCAGGCAAACTGGATTTTCTCCACTCTCTGGCTCCCTGCCTGCAGGACTTCCATCAGCTGGCCTAGAGCATCCCTAAGAAGAGCAAGGCCCTGGCTCAGCCCCGAGTGCTGCAGACGTGCTGAATGGGATGGGAGGCTGCAGGATCAGAGCTAAAGTGGCTGATGCCCGCACTGGGTATCATCACTGGCTTGAACCTCAGGCACTGGCAGAGGAGAGCAACACCTGCAGTGACCACTCACTGACTGAGTGTGAAGAAAGGACAGAGGAGTCCTGGCAATGCCAAGGAAATCCCTTCAGTCTCCTGCCCAAATTTTGCCAAGACACCACATCTGCATCATCACTGAAATCTCCCCTAAAGACTTGTGCAAAACATTGGGGTCTTCCCCTCTGACACCCATTCTGGTGGGGATTCCCTGCCACCTTGTTTGCAGAGCTGAAATATTCGGGTCTTAGTGTTTTCCAAGTATTCTTAGTGTTTTTCACGTACTCCAGGTACGTATTTCAAATGTAAACACACAGTATAGCATATAGTATATATATGCATAGCATAAAGTATATACACATACTCACACACTATGTATCTTTGCCCCAGTGGGCTGTCTCAACCTTACCCCACACATGGAGATTGTAGTGTCTCTCCCGGCATGTGTACCTGCCCACATCCTGCACACTGGCTCGCTCGATCTACCAGAACAAGTAGAGGTACTAAGATGACCTGCGGTAGAGCTGGACCCATACAGGCCCTCCAGCAGGAGATTTGGTGCCAGAAGCAGCCACAGGGATGGGATCAGTGTGAGGGGTGTGAATGGTGCTGAACATAGGCAATAAGGAGGGGCGCCCCTTCTCTCTGCACCCAAGGGTGAGAAGGGGGAAATGGGGGCATTTTCTCAACCTCATTTCCCCCCCCATCCTCTGCAATACCCCAAAACATCACCTGGAGCACGGTTCCTTCCGCAGAGAGCTGCATGCCTGGCTTTGGTGTGAGCACATTCCCATCCTTCAGCCAGTGGGACCCCTGAGCACTGGGACTTGGAGCCGAGCACTCCAGGGTCACCGTCTGGTTGACGATGACAGAGATGTTCTCCTCCTCACCCAGCGTGGTGGGAGGCACTGGAAAACAGATCAACAGGGCAACACCTTCCCTGAGACATCCCCTTGGTACCCATGCGAGGTACAAGGAGAGCCCCGTTATCCCGAGCATCACCTGCAACCCAACAGCCATGGAGGTGGGGATGCCCAGGGGTACTTACACTGTACCTCGAGGGTAGCCTCGTGTCTGTCTTCCCCCACAGCACTGCTGGCTACACACGTGTACGTCCCCGAGTCCTGGAGGCGAGCAGTGGGCAGGGACAGCACGTGCCCATCGGAGAGGATCTGTGCTTCCCCGGGGTGCAGAGAGAGCCCGGATGAGCATGAAACCAAAGAACCTCACAGGCAGCTTGGGCTGCAAGCCAGCAGGAAGAGGGACGGGTGGGAATAAGCCTGCCTTGAGCCCATTTTTATCACATCCCATGGACCCTCACAACAGGGAAGCCCAGCGCAGGACTGAGCAGGTTCATGCTCCCATGGACCAAACACGGGCACGTCTGGGTGACATTGTACCTGCTCAGCTCCAGCAATTGCTTTTTTAAAGGCCAGAATGAGGAAAAGCAGCCTCTTCTTGGAGGGACATCCCCTCCATCAGGAGCTATCTCACCTGTGGGCCACCTGCCACTTCGTTGGGTACCGGGTTGCCATCCTTCAGCCACAGCAGCACCGGAGCTGGGGTCCCCGTGGCATCACACTCCAGTGTCACCGGCTCTGTCACCAGCACCCTGAGGGACCTTGGGCCAGTTCTGATCCGTGGGGGCACTGGGAAGCAGAGAAGTGTCACCAGGAGCAACAGGGTGCAAAAGGGATGGGACAGGTAGGAGACACCTTGGTGCGGACCAGGCAATACCCATCCATTGGACCATGATTTTCTAGGACATTGGGATGAACACAGGGGATGGGATGGCATGGCTGGGATTGCAGAGGACAATGTCTCTGCTAAAGCATCTTCCAGAGACGTGTCCCAAGGGCTGGTACAGCCACATTAGTCCCATGCACATAGGATAGATGCAGTGGGGGAAGCAGGCACTTCCCCTGCTCACCAGTGACTCACCGGTCACCTGCAGCCTGTACCAGAGCTCAGTGACCCCGGCCACATTGGAGGCCACGCAGCGGTAGCCGCCGGTGTCGGAGAGCTGGGCACGCTGGATCTCCAGGTGCTTCCCATCCCTGGACACCATCATGCCTGGTCCTTCATAGAGCTGCTCATCCTCCTTGTACCAGGTGATGTCTGGAGGGAAGGAGGGAGCTGTCAGGAGTGATGCTGCTCCCATCTCACCAAGGAGACCAGGGAAAGCCCTAGGGATGCATGAGATGAAGGAGAGGAGCAGCTCACCAGGAGCAGGCAGCCCCGAGGCCAGGCACTGCAGGGACACCGTGCTGTTCTCCAGGATGACCAGGTCCACGGCGCTGGGTTCGATGCTCGGAGCCACTGGAACACAGCACACGCAGTCAGCAGCTCTGCATGGCCACAGCCACACAGTGCAGCAGCACGGGCACAGCCAGGCTCACGGAGGCACTCAGCATGTATTGAGTCCTGGGAGCAGCCAGAGCTCATCCCCTGCTCTGGAAGGGGATCACATCACCACACGGTGCCACTGCTGCTCCCCAAGTCAGCTCTAGCAGAGCTGGTCCCTGCCCCAATGTCCTGTTCATCCTGCCAGAGCAGGGAACTCCATTCCCTGCCTGGTTTCTCAACCAAAACCCTTCAGCATCACGTCCTGAAACGCTGATTGAGGGCTTCCCTGGCCAAAGGGGAAATGGGGCTGGGAGAAGAGCACCCACCAGCTCTCAGCCTCCTTGGCAAAGGGAAAGATCCCAATGGATCAAGCTACACCTCCCTAAAACAGGGCCATGAACATGCACCCCTTTGGCCAGCCACGTTCTCCCTGACACATGGGATGGATAGTGGGTCTCACCCCAAATGCTGTGCTCACCTTGCACCAAAACCTGCACCTCCGCCTCTGCCACCCCTGCCTGGTTGCTTCCCTGGCAGACATAAAGCCCTTCATGATCAAGCCCCACACGGGTGATCAGCAGAGTCCCACCATCCTCAGAGACCACCACACCATCCCGCTCGTGCAGCGGGTACCCATCCTTCAGCCATCTGCAAGGAAAAGGAGATGCTGCAAGTCCATCCTGATCTCATTGCAGGGCACCCCCAGGGAGTGATGCAGCCCCTATGGGAGGTCAGGGGGAAGATGAGCAGGACCCACCACTGCAATACTCACTGGATCCGGGGTGGGGGGATGCCCATGGCACGACAGTGGATCCTCAGGGAGTCATTGGTGACAGCCGTCAGGAGGCTTTCCCCATCACCGATCAGCATCTGGGGGGGAACTGGTGGGAAAGAGGATGTTAGCCTGGGATCACCCTCGGACCCTGGCACAGGGATGCGAGGGGGCAGGATCCTGGTGGTACATTAAGACCCACAGCCCACAGGAGGAGCATTCCAAGCAGCAGACATGGACCTTGGATGCGCAGGCTGTAGCTGAGAGAGGCGTTCCCTGCGGCATTCGTGGCCGTGCACGTGTAGAGGCCTGCGTCCATCACCCGGGGCTCTGCCAGACGAAGGGACCCCGAAGGGAGGATGCTGTAGCTTGGGAAGAGGGAACAGAAAAGCTGGATGGGAGGAACAGCCATGTCATCCATCAGCTACCCCTGGGCAGGAACTAACCGCTGGGACATCACCATTGCTTTGAGACAGCAAAGAGAAGGGTCACCTCCTGCCCAAGGAGGATGGCAGAGCTGTCCATAGGGGCAAATCCCCTTTGCTCAGCTCCCATGTGAACTCAGCACGAGGCAGTGCACAAGCCACTGATGCAGAGGGACAGGGTTCCCCATGGAGCACAGCCCCTGCAGCTGGAGCTGGCCATGCTCTCGCTCCCAGCACTGTGTTGCACAGACATAACATCATCTCATCCCACGGCTGCGGATCCCTGCTCCTGTGCTTCCATAAATCACCCAGGCACATGAGGACAAGGCAGCTGAGATGTGGGGAGCAGCACAAGTCAACCAAGAACACACCACGAGGCACCACGGTCCCTCAAGAAGAGCAAACCCAAGATGCCTTCCTGCTTCCCCAGCCCACAGCTGCTCCATCCCAGCAGATGTTTGTATGATGAAATTAAAAGCCTGGTGGTTCTTGCTCTGCTCTTCTTGAGGAGCAGAGGATGCTATACCTTGTCTCAGATATGATGCTATACCGCTTGTCTCAGCTACTGCCAAAGCACTGAGCATCAGCACTTGATGTCTTTGCACCTCCCTACCAAGTAGCTGAGTCCCTTCACGGAGCCAGCATCCCTCTAAGGGATTCACACAATCCCAAGAGGTCATGGCCCAAAATTCCTTCCAGAAGACACAATCCTAAGGGATCATAGCCTTGGCACCCACAACTCTCCTTACCTCGTGGTGGCAAGAGGCAACGGTTGGGACTCCCGGGTCCACACCACCAAGGGAGGGGGATAGCCCTGAACCTCGCAGGGCAGGGTGATCTCCTGCCCAAGCACAGCCAGGATGGTTATGGGATCCGATGCCTGTGATCCGTTCACGCTGATCCTGGGCTTTGCTGGGTGGAAAGGGAACACAGCTGGTGCAGGAACACTCCAGGTACCGCACAGCCCTCATTGCTGCTGTTCCCATCCCACAGACCCCTCTGGCACCGGGCTAGGTGGCCCAAGGAGAGTCCCCAGGTCCTGCTCTCCCAGCCAGTCACCCTCTGGAGGTGTTTTACTGGGAGCTGGTTCCAGAGCCAGCCCCAGGCACTCACTGCTGATGGAGAGCTGCATCTCCCGGCTGGAGAAGCCTGCTGCATTGGTAGCTGTGCAGAAGTAGGTCCCAGCATCCTCAGGGGATGATGAAGGGATCAGGAGGGTCCCATTGGGGTCAAGGTGGTAGCGTGAGCTCAGTGAAATGGGCTCTGTGCCCTGCAGAAGAAAGGGAAGGGAGGAAGACAGCAGAGAATCTCCCATGAGCTGAGCATCCCAAGGGCAAGGCAGCAGCTCTGGACCCATCAGAGGCTGCCACAGCCACACTGGTGAGCTATTCCCCCTCCAGACACATTGCCCTGCACCAAGGATGACTCACAGCCTGCCTGGCAGGGGGACAGCCTGGCCATGTCACCCACCTTTGTCCAGGTGACAGTAGGGGGGGGCACACCGGTGGCATTGCACTGCAGGGTGATGGCTGCTCCCTCAGTGGCAGTGATGAGGACAGGGCCAAGCTCAATGCTAGGAGGAACTGGGAAGGGAGAGAAGCATCTCATCCCTGTGGCCGGGGCCACATTTACCAGAGCTGGTCAGGAGGTGCAGGGACACCCAGCACCCTGCCACTCACCGTGGATGACCAGGGACACGTCCTGCCTGTGCGAGCCGAGGGCATTGGTCACCTCACAGGTATACCTGCCTGCATCCCCTTGCGATGCCTGGTCCATGTGCAGGCTTCCATCAGCCCTGATGGAGTACCGTCCACCTGGGGCTACCTGGGCACAGGCAGAGAGCACAAACAGGACAGACTGGGGGTCAAACATCACCATATCCCTGTGTCTTTGGGGCATATCTAGAAACTGAACCTTGAGCAGCAGGAACATCCTGATGTGGTGTTAAACCCACATTATCCTCCCAACCCAAGGGTTTCCCTGGCATCTTTCACCATCAGCTTTGGCCCCAGGAGGTTGGGGCATCCATCCTGTAGCAAAGCCCCGTGATTGCAGCTCCCACCATTGCAGTGGGCACAGGACCCTCACCGGCTGCCCATCCTTCAGCCAGCGTCGGGCCGGGAATGGCCTCCCAGCCAGGATCACACACGGCAGTGACACGGGCTGGCCTAGGAGCACTCGGACCATGGGGGATGCAAGAGCTATTTCTGGGGCTGCTTGAAAGACAGGAAAGGGAAACACTATTAACTGGAGCTGAACTGGCCAAGAACACTCAGAACAGCTCCGGATCGCCTTGCTTCCAAGGTCCAGACCTTGGCTTGGCACAAGCCAGCTCCAACACTCGGCTCCCCCAAGACTTTGGGGATATCAATCTATGGTTTGGGTTCAAGTGTGTGTCAATGCATTAAGCCAAAAGAAATGGAAGGGCATGATCCCAACCCTGAGCATTCATTGGCCGGCTCAAGTGCAGACGTGGCTGCACGGGGGTGCTGGTGCTGGCAGCAACCAGGGTCAACACACCAAGGAAAGCATGTAAAAGCAAACCGTGACCGGTGACCGTGAGCTTGATCTCCGCTTGGATCTTCCCAAACTCATTCTGGGCTTTGCAGATGTAGATGGCTTGGTCATCCAGCGAGGCGCCTGGAACATGGTGGGAAGGATGAGCCCCGTGGGGCTGAAGAGCCCTGGGCGAGCTCCACAATGGGGAGACACAACCCTCCCCTGCCCCACCACTACCTCCAATGGAGGAGAGACCCCGCCACGCTGAAGGCTTGCAGGCTGTTAAGCTTGCATGGGTCAAAAGTGCCAATAAACCTGCTACATCCATGCTTTACTAGCACAGAAAGAGTGGGTGCAGGGGCTAATCCCAATGCTGAGACAGCAGCCAGCAGCGGGCAGGGAGAGAGCACCCATGGGTGACACCGCAAGCATCACCCGGGCTGGATGCCATGCAACGTGCACTTGGCTCTTACTGTCCATGAGGAGCTCGGCAGCCTCCAGCTGGCTGGACACACCATGAGGCTCGTGCCAGCCGGGCACTGGTTTCCCATCCTGCCGGGACCAGGAGACCCGCGGTGCTGGGGAGCCCTCGGCACGGCACAGCAGGCGCAGGGGCTCCCCAGCCTCCACCACCACGTCCCCCAGGGGCTCGGGAAAGTGAGGGGCAGCTGGAGGAGACAGCACAGAGAAGGGGTCGGGCAGGTCCAGCACCACAGTGTCCCCATAGCCCAGAGAGATGGGACTGCAGAACCCACGAGCGGGGCCCTGAAGGGTGATGAGACTGACTCGAAGCGTTTGGTGTTTCTCCAAAGCTGTTGCAGACGTAGCAGTTTCCATCCCTTACAGTTACACTCAGCAAAAGCTCTTGCACTTTTCCACCTCGAACTGCTTCAGACCTTGCTGCCCCAACACACAACCTCGTCTCCTCCTCCTCCTCCCCAGCCTTTTCCATCCCTTCTGCCCCCCTGAGCACCAGTTGGAGTCCTTGGTTTTTCAGACACCCAGAAGCAAGTCTCCACTTCTGCCTATCTCCACTGCTTGTACTTTACATCCCCAGTTTAGTCCCAAGCTGCCATGTCTGAAGAGGGCCTATAGGGATGCTGGGGATGGACTCTTCATTAGGGACTGTAGTGATAGGACAAGGGGTAATGGGTTAAAACTTAAACAGGGGAAGTTTAGATTGGATATAAGGAGGAAATTCTTTCCTGTGAGGGTGGTGAGGCACTGGAATGGGTGCCCAGGGAGGTTGTGAATGCTCCATCCCTGGCAGTGTTCAAGGCCAGGTTGGACGAGGCCTTGGGTAATATGGTTTAGAGCGAGGTGTCCCTGCCCACGGCAGGGGGGTTGGAACTTGATGATCTTAAGGTCCTTTCCAACCTGAACTATTCTATGATTCTATGATTCTGTGTCCCTGTGCAATAGCATCCCTGCTGGTCTTCAGACACAGGCTGAGCCTCATCCACCCTCCTAAACCTTGGCAATCCTGCCAGCCTTCAGCCTGCTTGTACCCAGTTTTCTCCTGTGCTTGGAAACCCAGGAACTGGGGGACAAGAGGAGCCTTGGGAAGCAGCAAAGTGGGAGATGAGGTTGGAGGGAGAGCAGTGGAGATAGACTCGGAGGGACACAAGAGGAGAGGCAGGGACTTACACCCCACATCCAGCACGGTGCTGTCAAAGGCAACGCCAGCCTCGCTGAGCCCCTCGCAGCCGTATCGCCCCGCATCCTCCTCCCGCACCGCCTGCAGCCGCAGGACCGCGCGCTGCGTGCCGGGGGGGAACGTGGCCACCGCCTGCTCGCCTGCCCCAGGGGACCCCACGTCAGCACCACAGTGCCCCAGGGGACCCCGTGCGTGATGTCCCTGCACGGAGCAGGGTTGCCCCCCGGGTCTGACCCCGTCTCACCTTTGTACCATGCGATGTAGGGTGGGGGGACCCCAAAAACCCAGCACTCCAGCGTCACGTCTTCTCCAACCAGTGCCTTCAGGCTGGGTGTCAGTGCCAGGATGACAGGAGGCTCTGTGCCATGGGGAGACACAAGGCTCCAGTGACCCCCTGCAGCGCTGGTGTGATGCCATTCCCCCCCAAGGGAACTTCCATTGCAGACAGCCCCATCCCATAGCTTGCATGCTGCAAGGTGCCAGCCGGCAGCTAAGGGAAGCAAAGAGGGATAATAAACCCCCCTGAGCCCATGTTTTTCCCAGTGGGAAGCAGGTACCGGTGAACTCCAGGGTGATGACTTGCTCATCCCAGCCCAGCGCGCTGCTGGCGTAGCAGCTGTAATTCCCTGCATCCTCTGGGATAGCGGCCCTGATGTGCAGGGTACCCTGAGCATCCGTGAAAACCCTGCAGCAAACAGGGAGAGAAGGGAAAACGAGCCCTGTGAAAACATAGCCAATTTAAAACGGGTTGAAATAAGTGAGCAAGCTTAAGGCCATCCCACACACACAGCAAGCGGTGGGTATGACGGATGCGGGTTAGCACTTAAAGCCAGCTCCATCAGGTGCTGCAGGGAAGGACGTTGCTTTGAAGCAGGGAAAAGCATTGAGAATTGGGCTTTTTCATCTTCAAAGTCAACAAAAACCTTCCCCAAAGCCCACTCCAGCACTCACAGCCTGACACGGGCAGGGAGGTGGGAGCCAAAAGGCAGAAGACATTAAGGGAAAGCACAAGGAGTATTTTGAGGCTGGAGCGCACACTGGGTGTGCAAAGCACCTCAAACAGCCCTCGGTGGGGACAGTGACCTGGATAAGGCAGGATGGCTTAAAAATACATGTGAAATTAAGGCTAGAAGAGTGCCAACAATCTCAGGTGCAGGGTGTGGGGTTATTGCAGTGCCTTCCTCCTTACAGTGCTATGGGCAACCCCAATCTCCTCTCCATCAATCAATACATCTCCATAAAGGGAGCCCATCCCCGGTGGGACAGGGAGGATGGGGGCACCCAGATCCCCATGGGATACCTCTCGCCCTGCTCCAGCGCCCATCCCCAGCGCTTCCATGCGGTGCGGGGCAGGGGGTGGCCCCCGGCCGTGCAGTTCAGCCGCAGCTCCTGGCCCCTGCCAAAGCGCTGGGGGCTGGCGTCGACCATCACCCACGGAGCCTCTGCATGGGGTTGGAGAAGGGCTCAGCCCTCGGGTGCCATCACCACTGAGGCATGGGGTGAGGAATGACCCGGGCCAGAGTGGGGCCAAACCTACCCTCGATGAAGAGCCAGAGGGAAGCAGTGGCCGTGCCATGGGCGCTCTGTGCCATGCACTCGTACTGGCCCCCATCCCCTAGCCGCACGTGGCTGATCTCCAGCGAGCGGTTCTGCAGCATCCGGGTCCGCCCATCCCCTGGCTGTGCCTCCTTCCCATCCCAGCTCCACGTCAGGTTGTAGGGCATGTCACCCAGGACCGGGCAGGACATGACCACGTCTTGGCCCGGGGATGCGGTGATGTTGGCCGGAGCTATGAGACGCGGTGGTGGCTCTGAAAGCACGGCGTGTGCAGGGTGAGATGAGCCTGTGCCCATCACTGGTGGGCACCGAGGCTTGGCACAAGCGGTCCCCACCTGAGACAGAGATGTAGGCACGAGCCCGCGTCACCCCAACCTTGCTCTTGGCTGTGCACTCATAAAACCCTTCATCGCTCTTGGACACCGCAGGGATCAACCAGCTGATGTTCCCCACATTCCTATGAAGAGAGAAACTACAGGGTGACCCCCACAGCATGGCTGCCATGCCACCACCCTGCTCCAAATCCCTGGGAGTTTTTCCATCCAAGTCAGGCAAAAGGGTGAAGATACATCCCATGGCATTTTCCTTTGCTGCCTTGGGATGCTCAGAACTTGCAGGCACCCATTCAACACACAGCATCCCCCTGGCCAGCACAGCTCAGGGGGCTGTTGATACCTACACAGGTCCATCATGGGTCAGACCAATGGCTCACCAGAAGAGCTGCTCTTCCCCAAGCCTGGTCCTCCCGCGGCTGAGCTGCAGGCGGAAAGGGACCTCGCTCCATGCGGAGCAGGAGATCAGCTGCGGCTCACGGTTGTAAGCCTGGATCTTGCTGGAGATGTTCACTTTGGGTAGACCTGGAAGTAGTTTCACACACACACATGCACATACACACGGATTGCACTCATCAGCAGCTCACCAAGAGCTGTGCTGGGAAGCAGGATAAAAGAATTCCAAAGCGAAAACCAAACCAGAGGCAGTGCTGGAGCCTCTGATCCCATCTCAGCACCCTCAGGGACCATGGGAACCACTCACCAGCAACCACACTGGTGTAGGTGACCCCGGAGAGGCGATGCAGGGGGTGGCCCTCAGCATCCTCACCCTTCACCTTCAGCAGGAAGTCACCCATGGGGACAAGGAGCGGTGAGGCCACCCAGACCTGCCCCGAGGAGGTGTTGGAGAGGGGCCGCATGGGCAGCGAGAGCAGGGCATGGCCGGAGGTGTTGAAGAGCTCAATCTCCTGTAAGTGCCCCGGTGGCTTCAGGCCGGAGCAGTTCACCAGCACGGAGATGGGAAGACCTGGAGACAGGGAAGGGAAGGAACAACCCAGCTGCGTTCCCGGATGCAGGAAGCCCAGATGCAGCATCCACGGCTCTGGGCTGCACCAGGCTCACCCTGCACCGGGCGCTCTCCAGGCTGGCTGGCATCAAAGTCCGGCTGGGTGGAGAAGCTGGCTTGGAAATTGATGTTGCTGATGCCTGTGATCCTCAGAGAGTGGCGGCCGCTGCTCTGGGTCTGGAAGTGGATTGAGAGACATACACCAAGGGCAAGGGAAGGGAGAGGCGATGGGGAAGGGAGAGGCGATGGGGAAGGGAGAGGCGATGGGGAAGGGAGAGGCGATGGGGAAGGGAGAGGCGATGGGGAAGGGAGAGGCGATGGGGAAGGGAGAGGCGATGGGGAAGGGAGAGGCGATGGGGAAAGGAGAGGCGATGGGGAAGGAGAGGCGATGGGGAAGGGAGAGGTGATGGGGAAGGGAGAGGGCAACAGCCAGCCCCTTCCAGCCTGTTTTTGCATCCTCTGCCCAGCTGGAGGTGGCAATGCCTGTCCAGCTAAATGCCCCTCAGGAGATGGGTGAGGGATCTGCCACCAGCTTACCGTGACCCACCATGTCCCTGGCTCGTGGGGCTCCACAGCCACCACCATGGCTGAGTTGGGGATGCTGAGCAATTCCTTCAGACCTTGGCCTTTCTCAAGGATCTTTCCTACAACAGTGAGTGAATCTCTGGGATGGGCAACCCAGCTCCATCCCCTGCTCCCTGCAGCCAATGAGATCCCCCTTCCTCAGGGCTCACTGCAGTGCAGAGCCCATCACCCAGCCTCAAGCCTGGCACGAAGGCTCTCCAGGAGGCAAAGCATCACCCCCTGCCCATTCCCCTCCCCTGGGCTCCTACCTGCTGGATCCCGGACCTCGATCCCTGGGGCAGGACCACTCAGGGAGATGGTGACCTCCTTCAGGCTTGGGTCAAAGGGGACAGGCCATGTGTGCTGCCCACCACCCTCATGGTCCGTGGACAGCAGATGGACCTTGGAGGCTTGGATGGCTTCTTCCACCCACTTGAGCACCTGGGGGCATGCGGGGGGGATTAACCTGGATTCCCATTCACCACCAGGCACAACCATTTTGGGGTCAGGTTGCACTGGGTCAAAATCACAGGCACGGCTGCAAAACAGTGCCCAGGCAACGGACCAGCCCCAGCCATGTCACCGGTTGAGCCCCACTTTACTACAAGCAGTTGCAACAGGAATTGAGTAGTTTGGTGGCTCCTGCTCAGACACTGAGCACGCATGATGTTATTGCCCCCAGCTCGCTTAGGGGAATAGCAACCATTAAAACACACAATGGCTGGAGGCTGGGCAGGGGCAATGAGGGAGATGCTGCCCAGTAACGAGCAGAAAAGCACTTTGCTGTTCCTCAGGTCTCCAAGATGTCATGGCAGTCAAGAGCCTCAAGATCAGGGATAGGCAGAGGCTCCTCTCCCTATGACCATAGAATCATAGAATAGTTCAGGTTGGAAAGGACCTTAAGATCATCAAGTTCCAACCCCCTGCCATGGGCAAAGACACCTCGCTCTAAACCATCTCACCCAAGGCCTCGTCCAACCTGGCCTTGAACACTGCCAGGGATGGAGCATTCACAACCATGCCACCTGCCTGATTCCCAGGATGCTGAGAGCAATGGGAGCACACCAGCCTCAGCCCCAAGCAGACACTTCCCCTGCAGAGGACTCATCACAGGGATCACACGAGCAGCAAGCTCAAGAGCAGCCAGCCTTCTCCAGCTTCAGGCTGACGCAGGGCTCCCAGTCACTCTGGAGGTGCTTTGAGCATGAGGATTAACCCCAGGGAGAATATGGGAGCAGCCAAGCTGGCCTGGACAGTGCACACCCTGGGCACACCATCCCTGCTCACCTCTGTGACCTGCTGCTTGTCCAGGTGGAAGATCTGCCCCGAGCTGGTGGTAGCGATGCGCTCGTACACGCGGTACCCGGGGTGGCTCCTGTCCCCGCAGTCCCCCGTCAGCACAAACACCACCTGCAGAAGCAACGGTCCCCATAGCATCACACAGCCACGGGGTGTGTGTGCATCCAGGGAGCATCCCGTGGAGCCAGCCATGGGGATGCTCAATCCCCACCATCAACAGGCAGCTCACCTGGGTCTGCTTGTGCTGCAGCAGCTGCAGCAGCTCCTCCTGCTGCTCATAGTCCTTGGCCCGAGCATCGGAGAAGACGTAGACAAAGGAGCCGGGGTGTGAGACCTCCACAGCCGTCCTGATGGCTCCTACACTCATCTCCGGGCAGTCCCCTCCACCCTGCACACATGAGGGATGTGGCACAGGCACCCAGACACCCAGTGCTCTGCTCCCAGCAGGATCCCACCCAGCGTCTGCTCATGGGGAGGAACTGCACCGGTTCGATGCCATCAGCCCAAGCGCAGCCAAAGCAGCGCAATGGGACCTCAGGGACCCATCCCTGTCTCACTACTAATGATGATCAAAACACTCATTTTGGGATCCAGACTCACAGAAGCTCCTGGCTTCACATAGTGAGCACATTCCTGCCCACCCCTGCCCATCACCCTCCAGGCAAGCACAGAGGCACATTGAGGACCAGCTCCTGTTTCCACAGGGCTTTGCACTCCGAAGGGCTGGGAAAGGATTTGCAGCCACAGCTTTACACCTCGTGCCAAAACACAGCTGCATCTGAAGGGAAACACCACAGATCTTTAGCAACGCAGGGGAGGCAGGGCAGGGATGGATAAAGCATGATTGAATTCCCAGAGAGTGTTTTGAAATCGTTAACAAATATATTAAAAACAACTCAATTTTCAAAGAGCATTTCCAGAAGAAGAGATTTTTGGTTCCATGGAGAGTCTGTGGAAACCCTCCTGGGGAAAGCATTCCCATTATGGGGCTGGGCTGGGAACTGAGAGCGCTCTGCCCCATTGCAGGATGCTGGGGCACAGCGCCAGCATCACCATCCTCTCTACTCCCACCATGGTGTGGTCAGCCCTGACCCCCTCCACACTCCCAGGGGACACCAGGCACTGGTTTTGACAACTGCCACCATGCAGGAATGCAGGGCCAGGCTTCCCATCATGTGCCAAGGGCCATGCACCAAGCTCAGCACCGTGGGGATGAGGATTCTGACCTGGACGTGGAGCTCCCGCAGGCGCCGCTGGAAGAGCCGAGGGTCCGTGGTGAGGGTGACGGGTCCCACCTCTGCAAGCACATGGACACCACTGCTTCAGCCTTCCCAGCACCAGCACCAGCCTCCTTTGGTGCCACGCTCCCAAGCGCCCACCCTGGCTTGAACACCCTGATGGGACCTGCAGGACTCGGGGTTGAGCATCTACCCTGGTTTGGCTCCCAGTGAGATGTGGATGTGGGAACACTGCTCCCATGGAAAGCTCTCCTCTGTACATCACTGGACCCAGCCAGGGTGAGCTGCAAACCCATTCCTGCTGGGGCAGGCTCCCACCAAAGCGATGCTGAAACCCATTTACCCCCTCTGCCTCCTTCCCTGTCCAGCTCCAGCGACTTTCATTCAAACTCAGTGTTTCTGCTGAGAACAAACCCTCGGTCCTGCTCTATTTGTAGGGGGTCTGGGATCTATTGGAGTGCAGCTGCTATTTATGGGTGTGCACAAAAATCCCAAGGCAAAGACTGGGACAGATAGGAATGATTCTGGAATTGCAGTAAATAACCAAAACCTCTGGCAGCAGCACGTTATGGACTTGTACAGAAATTCCCCCCATGATTAGTCCGGGGAGATCAGAACAGGCTGGAAGGAGAAGAGAGCCAGCATCACTTGGATTAATGCAGAGAGGTACGACTTGCCCTGTGCCTGCGGGGTGGCTTGCGATGGGAGCCCTGCTCAGCACCATACCCTCGAGCTGCAGCTCATCCTGCAGTGCCATCCCCATCAGAGCATTAAAACAGAAGAGAAGGGACATGCAGGCACTTGTGAAGTGCGCGTTCCAGCCCCAAACTCCTCCAGAACCACAGCCCAGCTCCCCACAGCCCCATCCCCAAGCAAGACACGTGTCCCTCCTTGTGCCCCAGCCATACCTGGGTCATGGAATGGGACCAGCACGTAGTTGCTGATGGGCTTCGTGCTCCTGCTGAGCGTCCGCTCCAGGATGCGCGAGGCCCCGTCCATCACCTGCACCAGGTCGTCGTACATGGAGCCGGTGACATCGAACACGAAGGCTAAGGTGGCCCAGCCCGAGCTGGGGGGGTGCTCGGCGAGACTGGGGGCCAGCAGCAGCCAGAGACCCACAAACACCCCTCCATGGGGCGGCATCGCTGGGGACACCCCTTTATCCTTGCCCTCTCCTTCTCCCAGACCCCTTGGTCACCGTCCCTGCACTAGGGAGGGATACAGGGTGCAAGGGGCCACACACGGTGGGGACAGAGCAGGGACCCGGCCAGGGGACACCCAGGCACCGACCGGCTCCTCCAGCGTTCAGCTTCTGGGAGGGAAGCAGGGATGGAGGGAGGGAAAAGAGGACTTTGGGAGCCAGCGACGCGGCGGGGAGGTGGGTGGGAGCTGGAGGAAGCTGGGATGGGGATGCAGGGATTGGGAAGCGGGTCCTGCAGCCCACAGGATTGTCCGAAACACTGCCCATGTCAGAGCCCCCCCAGCCCCAGCTCAGAGAGCCCCTGCTCTGCTGGGGGGAGCCGGGGTTAGGGGAGGACACGGGGGCTCGGAGCTGAGCACCTGCAGGGACACCCTGCCAAAGGCAGGCAGTGGGAGAGCCAGCTGGGAAAGGGGGTGAGGAATCACCCTGCCTCTGCCAGGCAAAGGGGCCTCTCTGGAATAGGGGTCTGCGATGGGGCTGGTGGGGATTAAGGGGCTCTTGGGGGGCTCCCCAGCACAGCTGCCCCCGGAACAGGGAGCAAACAGCCACGTAAAGAGCAGACAAAGCCGGAGCCAGGACAAGGGGTGGGAAAAGCAGCGCTTGGCTGGGAAAGGCAGCGCTTGGACAGAGCGCAGGAGCTTTTCCTGGCTCCCCTCAAAGCGCAGTGCTGAGCTCATGGCTGCTCCGGAGGGATGCTCTGCTCTTGCTCAACTCCTTCCCAACGGGACCCAGGGAATGGAACGGCCAAGGGCTGTCTCCAGGTGAAGCTGTGCACTAGGGACCACATCCAGCCCAGGGGGCTGAGCACCTCCTGCAGCCCCAGCGCCTCACTGGCAGCAGACACAGGGCTGGGGGAGATCAGGGACCACCCATCCCACACCCCACACAGGACAGTGGGATCCTCCTGTGCATCCTTTTGCCCCACAAGTCCCTACAAGCCACGGCTTAGCCCAGCACGGTCCTAGGGGGGGTAAGGACCCCCCTTGCAGCAGGGCAGAGGATGGGACCTCTGTTCCATGGGGCTGAGCCATGAGCTCTGATGGAGACTTCTCCTCCTCCTATCCCCCACCAGGCTTGGATGCAGCCACTCACCTGCAGCCTCTTGTCCCCCCCAGGCTTGGCACCCCCAGCCCCACACTCACTGCAAGCCCAGAGGGGCTTCCCCACCCCACAGTGCCCCCAAACCCACCACAGGGCACCCCCATCCACTAACCTTGCAGCCAGCTCCATCCTGCTCCCCAGCAGCAAGCACCTCTCTCCAGTGCTGCTGGAACAAAGAAACCCAGCAGCTCCTCCCCACACTCACCAGTGCTCCCAGTGCACCTGAACTACCTGGGCTTTAACCCCTTTTGTGCTGGTGGGCACAGCAAAGCAAGGCACAGCCTTGGGTCACCGCTGTGCTCATCCTCACCCGCTCCATCGCACAAGGGGATGAATCCCTGTGTGCCCCCATCACACGCTGGCACAGGGCACCCCCGAACAAGCCCCCCCTGTGCAAACACAGCCTCCTTGTTCAGGCCATCAGGGCACCAGCTCTGGCCTCCTGGAGTTAATGAGCCAGCCTCGTTAGGAGAGCAGACAAATGAAGAGGGGCAGAGAGGCCCTGGGCTCGGGACTTGGCAGGGCACAACGGCAAACGTGGTCCCACCGCACGTGAAAAGCCCGATGGGAGCCCCCTGCTCCCCCTGCCAGCCCCGGGGGAGTGCCAAGGGGCACCTCCATTGGGGCACTATTATGGGATATTAATATCCAGCTCACTCAGCAGTCAGTGCATGCCCAAAGCGAGCCGATGGCTCCCAGCCCGGTGCGTTGGTGCAGGGTGCCCAGAGAAGCTGTGGCTGCCCCATCCCTGGCAGTGCTCAAGGCCAGGTTGGACACAGGGGCTTGGAGCAAGCTGCTCCAGTGGAAGGGGTTGGGGTTGGAGCTGGATGAGCTTTAAGTTCCCTTCAACCCAAACCAGGCTGGGATAAGCCTGACCGTGAGCCGCGCATCACAGACCACGGGTGCTCCGTTATTGTCATTAAGCTTTTATTTCCACTGTCACAAAGTTCCTGGGTTCTGTTTTGTTTTCTCTGTCGTTATTAAACTGTTTCGTTTGCTTGGTTTGCTCTTGAATTCATCTCAAGACAAGGCAGCAGGGCATGCAAGCCGAGACACCGGCACGGACGCACAAACAGGCTTCATCTTTACAAACAAGGCTCTTTTTGCTGGAGCTGCTGTTTCTCAGCCCGGGGGCTCCAAGCAGGGGTCCCATAGGACACAGCACCCAACCCGGGGCTGGTGGCTGCAGGAGCAGAGAGAGGAGGGACAAACGGCTTCCCTGCAGTGCTGCTGGGGCTGGCACATGGAACTGAGACCCAGCAAGGGACCCCCAAGCTGTGCACCAAGACCAGGGCCATCAGCTTACCACCCCAGGTGGACCTATCCCCTCTAATGCCACTGCAAAGGTGTACTGATACACTCCCCAAATGTCCCAGGTCTCCCTGTGTACCCCAGGATGGGGACAATGGGACAGTGAGCTGGCTGTGGGTCACACATCCATCGCATCCAATCCACCCCGACCCGAAATACATGGGAAGAGGGCAGCCATGCCAATGATTCTGGCTGCCCCCATGCCACATATAGCCCTGCTTCAAAGCCCCGGATCCGAAATCATTCCACCCTCCAGGTTAGCACAGTCCCAAGACAACCAGTGGTATTACTTCCATCCCTGCCCATGCCAGTGGAACAGTGGCTATGGGATGGCGATTCCACAGCCTCATCCTCCCCAGCATCCAACTGGGATGCATGTCCTAATGGAATGGGAGGCAGGCACCAACAGGCACCCTCTTCTGTGCGGTGGGGTGGGATGCAGGTGGTACCCAGCACAAACAGGGTCTGGGCACCCCATAAGCAAACACCTCCCTCCATAAACCCCATGGGGAGCACTCCAGGAGCCAGCCGGTCTCGTTATAAATCACAGCAATTAAAGGGCTGCTGTGGAGGAAAAACCCACTTTGCATCCCTCCTGGGTGCTGGTTTGTGCCGTGATGGGGACTGGGATCTGCCCCAGAGCCTTCTCCAGGGTGAGAACAGCTCAGCCCAGCCGCAGAGCTCAAGGGAAGGCGGTTACGAAGCAGCAAGAGGCAGCGCACGAACAGAAGAGTGGAAGGAAAGGGAAGTGCAGACACTGCAGTTTAATGGGGCAACACCGACAGGACAAATGAGAGGTGGGGGGGACCCTGCGCTGTGCCCGGCTCTGCTCCGGGCCCCTGCCCATCACCAGGGTGCAGCCGCTTTCATCCGGGCATCGGGTACCCGGGTATGAACAGAACCAACCCGGGTGTTGCTGGCTGTTGGCTTTAACCCTGAGCGGGTGGAAGGAGACCAAAGTTAACTATTCAGTGATGAGAGCTCCGGTGCAGTGGTTCATGCACTGCTCCCGATGTGCCTGATGGTTGGTGGGTCCTGCCAAACCCTATATGAGCTCATGAGCCATATCCAGTGCTTGTGCCTCCCTGGGCACGGGCATTGAATCGCTTTCAGAGGGGATGGCTCACCCCTCAGGCCATTTCACCGATGGGGAAACTGAGGCACAAAAAGGTTAAGGCCAACGTTGCCAAGCAAGAGATGCTTCAAGCCTTGTTGGCGGGGGTACAGAGAAGCTGCAGGTCCTGGTGATGTTCAGGAGTCAGGGCCACCAATGCTGCCCAAAGGGAGGCCAGAAGCATCCAACCAGAGCCCCAGATCCACAGCCAGGGGGGGACAAAGTGATGTGAATGGGGACACTGAGCATGTCAAGAGCAGGGCAGGACAGACCCACTGCAGGGCCAGAGCCAAGACCCAGGACAAGAGCCAGCCCCAATCCTGCCCAGCAGCACTCACCATTGCCACCAACCCAACAGGGCCCTTGCAGCCAGCACAGAGCTTTGAAAACAGCCAAAAACTTATTCCCTTTTTGCTCTTTTTCTTGGATAATGTGCAAATATCCAACAAGGGGCAGGGGAGGCCGAGGCCTTGGGCTCCATCCCTGAGCCCAGCAGCAGCAGGAGCAGGAGGTTGCTGGTAGAAGTGTCAGCACCATCCTGATGGACACTGAATGTTGGTACTTCAGGGCTCTGAAGCTCTCCCAGGCTGATGCTGGTCCTTCATCCCCCCTGTGATGGGGCTGCTTCCTGGTCAGACGTTGTCAAGCACTGATGGAGCTCAAAGCATGGCAATGGTCCTCTGAAAATTAAAAGCCTTTCAGAGCAAAGCATCAGAGCAAATGAGGTTTGCCTTTGCCTGGGAATTGTGTCAAACACCACAGGGTCCATCATTTATCAGCAGAGGAGATTACAGCAGTGTCACATTCAATGGGAACATTGACTGGCACCAGAAAGGGACCGGTCTGGCAGACAAGCGTTAGAGAAGTTGGAGGCACTGCAAAGATCTACCCAAGAGAGTTGCGTTTTGGCCACAAAGCATCAAGGAAAAGGGGTTTCCATGGGAGGGAGCGAGGGGACACCCTCCAGGAGGGAAACATGGGCACCCTCAGGGGCAGGAGCTGCAGAAGAGGCAGAAATATTGCACATGGATGTGAGGTTGGTCTCCTTGAGGAATGGGGAAGGGTGTTTTTTATGGGCATCAGGAAACGCCACCAGCACATGGGCCCCGAAACTGGGGATTAGGGCTGCATGGCAAAGGACCAGCATCGCTTGGCTGGAGTATTGCCTTGTCTCCTACATCATCTGAGAACATCCTCCATGTCCAGATGTCACTTCCCACCGCTATGGGGACAAATCCTGACCATGGGAGCTGCAGACCTCCCAGCAGACAGCGGGTGGAAAGATACTGCCAGCATCAACTGAACCAGGGACAGAGGGGTGAGCCCCTGGGGCGGGAGGAGCATGGCATTGGGATTGCTGGGCCAGGAACAAACCACACTGGAGCCATCCTGGCTGGCTTTAGGGGTCCTGCAGGCATCTTGCACTTTGCTCCTGATGAGATGCAAATCTCTCCTTCCCCATTGGACGGACCAAGGCAGATGGAAACAGAGCTGCAGCAGCACCTTGTCCTCCAATGGAGATGCCAACTGTGTCCTGGAGCTGAGCCCTGCTGGAGCACATCCAGAGTGCTGGTAGGTGATGGAGAAGCCCCACAGGTATCCCTTGTGGACGAGGGACCATTTCCAAGCCCCACACTTGGGTGCCTCCAGTCACTTTTCCCTAGCTTTTCCCCACCATGGATGCAAACAGCTCTGCTTTGGAGCTGTGCCCTTGGATTACAGCAAAACTTCCCATGTCCTAAACAGGGAGCAAGGGGCTAAGGAGACACCTCAAGCATCTCTCAGCCCAGCAGCCACAGGGCAGGAGTTACTGCATCACCCCAGCTGGGATGGGGAAGATGGAGCAAGCTACTCCCATGGGCATCCCCTCCGCTCACTCAGCCCCGCCACATATAGGACAATCCACAGCCACCCCCTTGGGGTGCAAACAGACCTTCCCACCACCAGCACAACACAAAAGAGTAAAGGAATCCCCCTGAAAGCAAACCCCAGCTCTCGGCTCCATTAATACTTCATCATGCAGAGAGAAAATAGGGGAAAGAAAAGGAAATGAGGAAGTTCTGGTGCCCGGCAGTTCCCTCGCCCTGCTCAGCTGAGTTATGGAGCTGGCTCAGTCTGCTCAGAGCCTGGGCTGAGGTTGCAAAGGGAAGGGTGAACAGAAAAACACAGGGAATGGGGGGGACAGGAAGAGGAGAAGAAGCTACAGCACCCCCTTAAAACAGCAGCCAGCCCATGGAGCTCGGGATACAGGGGGTGGGAAGAGAAAGGGGGAAGGCAGATTTTTTTGGCTTCATTGTTATTGCAGGCTCCCGGTGCCCCGCAATAGTGTACGAGCATGTAAACCTGACGTCTCATCATCACCTGGGTGGTCGGACACACACACACACGAGAGACTAAACACGGCAGCAACATTTACAACGAATAAATAAGGATATCCATTGCGGAGATAGGCATGTAAAAAAAAACAAAACCAAAACCAAACCTCACTTTTTTTCCACCAAAGAAAGAGGAAAAAAAAAGAGAGAAAAAAGCACAATACTGTCTCACCAAAAAAAATTAATATAATAATAATATATATCCCTAGAGAGCCGGGCTGGGTTGGTGACACCAGTGCTGTGTGTTCCCAATGGCCATCAGTGCCTCGGCTCCCCTGCCCTGCGCAGGCAGCACCCTGGGGTGCGGGTCCCCCGGTACCTTTAGGCTCCATCTCCAGCCAGCTGATTCCCGGGAGAGAACAACGCCGGCGCATCCACAGTCCCATTGAAAACATAGGAAAAGGGGAGCAAAAGGGGGTGAGGATGCCGAGGGGGGGGTCTGTGCCTGCAGCGATGCTCGACCCGCTCCCCCGGTGCTGCAGTCTCGGGTGTTCGCTGCCGCTCAGCCCGGGGTCTGAGGTGGGTTTGTATTGGGAAAAGCAGAAGTTGGCGAATGGCAGCGGCTGGTTCGGAGTGCGGAGATGGGGGAGAGAGCTCGCGCTTCGAGGGCACCCTCTGCTCGCGGAACAGGGAGCAAGGCCAAGGGGCAGGCAAGCTTGGCGCGGCGGTGGTCGGATGGCACGGAGAGCATCTTCCCCCAGGCATCTGCGGGAGAGGGTGGGGAGGAGAAAACCAGGGTGAGAATAAGGGCAGAAAGCACCGTGCAGCACAGCACCAGCACAGCTGGAAGGGCACGGCTCGAATCATAGAATCATAGAATAGTCAGGGTTGGAAAGGACCTTAAGATCATCAAGTTCCAACCTCATGCCATGGGCAGGGACACCTCACACTAAACCATCTCACCCAAGGCCTTGTCCAACCTGGCCTTGAACACTGCCAGGGATGGAGCATTCACAACCTCCCTGGGCAACCCATTCCAGTGCCTCACCACCCTAACAGGAAAGAATTTCCTCCTTATATCCAATCTAAACTTCCCCTGTTTAAGTTTTAACCCATTACCCCTTGTCCTATCACTACAGTCCCTAATGAAGAGTCCCTCCCCAGCATCCCTATAGGCCCCCTTCAGATACTGGAAGGCTGCTATGAGGTCTCCACGCAGCCTTCTCTTCTCCAGGCTGAACAGCCCCAACTTTCTCAGCCTGTCTCCATACAAGAGGTGCTCCAGCCCCTGATCATTCTTGTGGCCTCCTCTGGACTTGTTCCAACAGTTCCATGTCCTTTTTATGTTGAGGACACCAGAACTGCACACAAGACTCCAGGTGAGGTCTCACGAGAGCAGAATAAAGGGGCAGGATCACCTCCTTCAACCTGCTGGTCACGCTCCTTTTGATGCAGCCCAGGATACGGTTGCTTTCTGGGCTGCAAACACACACTGAAGCTGGCTCATGTTCATTTTCTCATCGACCAGCACCCCCAAGTCCTTCTCCGCAGGGCTGCTCTGAATCTCTTCTCTGCCCAGCCTAGTAATGGTTTTGAATAGCTCAGTGGGGTTAAAAAACCCCCATTGCCACCCATGGCTGGACACTGCCCAGGCTGCGGTGACCAAAACCATCCCATCTGCGTGGCCCCATGCAGGATGGTGAGCATCACAGTGTGCTCAGCGAAGCACCACATCCCTGACACGGCCATGCCAACCCCTGCCAGCTCCAGGGTGCAATATAATGAGATATAATATAAATAAAACATTTAATATAATGTCTCTCTGGAGCATCCCCATGGCCTCAGCGCACCAGCTGCCTCCTCTGCAGCCACATCTACAGGGACGAGCTGAGCTGTGCCGCGGGCAAACGCCTGTCAGCTGGGTGACTCTACAGCATCCTCATGGGCTGTGGTCCAGGAGCGCCCTATGGGATGGGAGGACTGGGAGAAACACATCAGTATGGGGTAGGAACATCCCCATCCAGCTAGATTTGGGGGGAATGAAGAGAATGAGGCACCCACCCCTGGGAAAGATGGGAATGGCATCAAAGCAGGTGGGAGATGGGGCACCCCCGGACTCCCCAGCACTGCACTCACCGCCGCTTGGCCCCAGGACTATACGAGCCCATCGTAGAGGGAAAGCGCCTGCACGATGGAGGGGTCAGCCTTGGAGCCCTCCTGGAACTCCTGCAGGGTCAGCTTCCCGTCCGCGTTCTGCAAAACACCCCTGTTCAGCATCACCTTGCCCTGGTGAGGGGGATGCCGGAACCGAGCATCCCGGGTCTGAGCACCCCAGGGCCCCGCCACCACACCATGGACCCACACAGGTCACCACCACCACTGCACCCCAGTGTCCCTGTCAAGCTATCAGTGCCTGCAGCCAGGGAGGAGCAGCACAGAAAGTGCAATGCCACACTGGGGACCCAGATAGATATAGGGATCCTGTATCCAGGCTGCAGTGACAGCTGAGAAGGAGGCACATGCAAGAGCTGAGATGCAGCAAGGGGTGGGCACAACTGATTCCTAAATCCTTTTCACTGCAGGGGAAAAAACACTCAAGCATCCTCACCTTGTCCATCATGGCAAAAATCCGATCCACCCTCTTCTCGGGTGTGTTCTCCTCCTCAGGAAGCTCCACTGTGTTTCCCTGTGGCAGCAAGATGGGACCCATCTGTGCCCTGCCTGGATGGTGTCTCCAGGCAAGCAGATGTGTGTTCTTCCCCCAAATCCCCCACATCAGGACAGAGCACAAGGAGTCGTCACTGGCACCAGAGCCATCCTCAGTGGCTGGATCCAAACCCACCGTGGCCATAAACTCCCATCAGAAAATCCCAGGGAGGGAATCAGGGATGTTTCAGCATCCTCCCTACAGTCCGCATCACCCTCTGCCACTTACCACCATCTGATAAATGGCATCCACAATGTCCAGCATCTCGTTCCTCGTGATGTACCCATCGTTGTCCAGGTCGTACAGCTTAAACGCCCCTGCAAGGCACAGTGATACCGAGGTGCTGGGGACTGCATCCTCCCTGGCACCTGCACACACGCACCCCCCATAGCTGCCCCCATGCCACCCCCTCATGGGGCAGAGCCCACTGGTGTCCATGGGGAGCACTTACACCTCAGCTTCTCGTCCAGCGTCCCTCGGGAGGTGACCGACAGCGCCTGGATGAACTCGGAAAACTCGATCCTCCCGTCCTGGGGGAGGGAAGGATGGGTGAGGGCATCGCTGCCACCCCTGCCCGCCAAAGCCCTCCCTGCCCATGCTGGGGGGCAATCCCAAAAGGCCATGGCGAGAGAGGAACGATGGAATGTTGTCCTCCTCCAGTACCGCGCAGCCTCACCCCGAACCCATCCCAGCATCACCTCCCTGACCCCCCTCACACCGTGCCCCCCGCTCCCAGCCTTACTTTGTTCTCATCGAAGACATTGAAAACGAAGGTGGCGAATTTGGTTGGGTCGCCGAAGGGGAAGAACTGCTTATAGATCTTCTGGAAGCCCGCGGCATCCAGCTGCCCGCTGGGGCAGTCCTTGATGAAGCCCTTGTACCTGCGGAGGAAAGGCAGAGGATGGGCACCATGAGGTCTTCTAAACCTCCTTCAAGACAAAAAGCCCCTGACCAGTCACCTGCTGCAGGAGGAGGTGCTGGGGCAGGAGATGCCTTGCTCAGCACTGAAGCATCACAGGGCCAGCAGCAGTGCTTATATCCCTCTCTCAGAACTCTGCACAGATGGAACGCTGCACCCTAGGGCCAGAGCTTGCCTTCCCCTCTGCTGCTGCTCCATGGATACACCAAGTCATCCAACTGGCTTTCCAGCATGGAGATGGTCAGGAAAGGGACTTGGGATCGGCAGCAACCCCACAGGCAACTTGCAGCCTCACTGCTCAGCACAAGATGCAGCCATGTACCAACAGCACAGTGGCCTGGAGCACCATGGCTATGACAGCGTTACGTGGAGAACCCCATGTGAAAGCCGCTCAGAGGAGCTGTGGGCACAGCAGGATGACTGTGTCCTCGGGGTGGTCCAGCTCAGGGCATCTCCCAAACACCATCATCACTTAAACACCGCCGAAGCCCTTGATCCCTGCTCTGGTTTGGACCTGGATGCTGCAAAGTGCCATATGGGAGGGTGCAGGGGAAGAGGCTTGAAAGCTCCGTGGATGAGGAGACCAAGCAGGGACCACCAGGGACATGCAGGGACCACCAGGGACATGCAGGGACCACCAGGGACATGCAGGGACCACCAGGGACCACACGGGGACCACGGAGGGTGTGTGAACATTATGCAATGTGTCTCCCCGATCTGTCAGGCGCCCGTTGCAGCAGGCCTAGGGCTGGAGGAGGAGGGGAAGGGGGTGGCGAGGTGGGAAACCGAAGCGCCGGTGACATCTTTTTCACGCTGCTGCAGCTATGACTCACCGAGGAGGGGGGGAAGGATGAGGGAAGGAGATAAAGAAAGCAACCCCTGACTGGTGGGGAGATGAAAGGGAAGCGGTGGCTTTTCTAGGGCATCGCGCTCGGTGGGGTGGAGGGGATGGGTTGGTGAGAGCCTGCTGCCAGCCCCAGCCCTGCTGCAAATGGGGACACGGTGGGACAGCAGCAGCATCCCCCAGCCAGGGCCACCAGCTGGGCTGTCCCCATGTCCCTGCTTGCCTTGGTCACCCACATGGGGAGGAAGAGGCAAGAGGGAGCGTGAGACATCCCATATGGGCAGCCGAGAGCAGCCAGAGCCAAGCCACACCATAGAATCATAGAATAGTTCAGGTTGGAAAGGACCTTAAGATCATCAAGTTCCAACCCCCTGCCATGGACAGGGACACATCGCACTAAACCATATCACCCAAGGCCTCGTCCAACCTGGCCTTGGACACTGCCAGGGATGGAGCATTCACAGCCTCCCTGGGCAACCCATTCCAGTGCCTCACCACCCTCACAGGAAAGAATTTCCTCCTTATATCCAATCTAAACTTCCCCTGTTTAAGTTTTAACCCATTACCCCTTGTCCTGTCACTACAGTCCCTAATGAAGAGTCCCTCCCCAGCATCCCTATAGGCCCCCTTCAGATACTGGAAGCTGCTATGAGGTCTCCACGCAGCCTTCTCTTCTCCAGGCTGAACAGCCCCAACTTTCTCAGCCTGTCTCCATACAGGAGGTGCTCCAGCCCCTGATCATCCTCGTGGCCTCCTCTGGACTTGTTCCAACAGTTCCATGTCCTTTTTATGTTGAGGACACCATAAGATGTGCAAGGAAAACCCCTCTGTTTCTGCTGTCTGCTCTCTGAGCTGAGCGTTGCGTGCTCCCATCCCTTCTCCCCAGCACTCACCACCATGCCAGACACTCACCACTGCTGCACCTCCTTCTCTGTAACTGCAAGAGAAAACAAGAGAAAAGAGAAAAAAGGAAGGAATTTAGTGCTGGCCCAGTGACAGCTGCGCTTCTGCACCTCCCATAAGCGGATTCCCTGCGAGGGATGCGCCAGGACTCACTCCTTCCATGCGCTGCCACGTGTCCCCTGCATGTGAGCGCTGCCATCAAGGCACAGCCTGGGTTAACCTCGGCTGGATGATGGGGTCCCTCCAGCCCCCAGATCACAGCACAAAGATGAGCTGCTCCCTGCGCCAGGAGTGCAGCACCAGCACTGCAAGGTGCTGTGGATCACGCAGGGGCCAGGCCAGAACGTGTCTGGAGACATCTGCCCAAGCACCAGCGAGGCCCCAACATCAAGACACTGAGCATGGCACAGGCACAGCCCCAGAGCCAGTGTCCCCCCAGGTACCACCTGCATGTAAACCACATGGAGAAACATCACCAAACCCATGCCAGGGCCCTAGGAAGCTTTTCTGGGCTCTGAAGAGACCCCCAAAATGTGAAAAGCTAGAACATGGTGAGCACTGGCAGCCCTGAGTGGGGACAGATGCTGAGATCACCAATGTCCTCAGCAGAGGAAAGGCTCTGAAGGGATGCGGGAGATCCCCAATGGGGCAGGGCGCTGGTACCTGTCCCCGTGTGTCTCACTGCCAGCACCGAGCCCAGTGCCAGAAGGCAGGGGCAGGGGGTACAGCCCCGTTAGTCTTTTCCTTTGCATCTTGCATCTAAGTAATAACACAAAAGCAATAGGTCTGGACCGCGCTGGGATAATGAGGCAGAGTGGAGATGTCTCAGTGTGCAAACGGCTGATAAAAATAGAGACCCAGGACACATCAACAGATGCCAATTACCTTGCATGGCAAAGAGAAGAAAGCAATTCTCCCTCATAAAGATTTACAACATGCCTGGCAGAAGGTGCACGCTGCAGAAGGCAAGGGCTGCAGGGCACATGCTGGTCCCCCCCTTGCATACAGACCAGTGCTGGGCCCCACATCCCCATGGATAGGAATTGTTATCCCTGTACATACAGGGGGTCCCTCCATCCCAGCACAGGCTCCATTGGAGGGACAGAGCCTGCAAACCCCTTCAAGAAGGGCTCAGCACGGGGCAGCATCTCCCCCCCTTCCCCAGGGAGCTGGCTGCAGGGCTGTGCTGGGAGGGTAGCGGTGCCCACCAGAGTGCCATGGGGTGTCTGGACCACAGCACCTCCAGAGAAGGGGGCAGGCGCAGGGATGCTCAGAACCTGAAGGACACTGAGGGCTTTGGCCGTGCCGCAGGAGGGATCTGGAGGTTGTCTTGGCAGGGCTGCCGGGCAGGGGAAGAGCAGACAAGGGAAAAGGACAGAGGTCTCTTGGCAGGAGGAAGCTGGGAAGGATGCGCTGCATCCAGCAGCTGAGCTGGGGCAGGCAAAACCAACCATGGTGCCAGGATTCCCCTTCCCGATAGAAAGGGCTGTGCAGAAACATCCTTCCAAAAGAAAGATGCTGAGTGATGTCTCTAACAGAAACAGGCTTCCCCACAAGCATCGGGACACCAGCCAAGCCCTCCACCCAAGGATGCTCAGGGGATGCCCCAGGCACCAGCTCTGCAGCCCCAGCTGCCTGCAGACACTAAGGCAGATGGAAGGAAGAGGAAGGTGAGCAGCAGGGCTCCAGGCAGCCCTCGGGGCAGGAGAAAGGGGCAGCCCAGGGCTATGGACAAAGCTTGGCTCAGCCCCTCCAGGCAAATCACCTTCTATTCTCCCTCATTCACTGTGTTTCCCACTGGGTTATTTCAGGCCCTGGAGCTGCCTTTCAACTCCAGCAGGAAACAATTAAGGAATTTGTGCTTTTTTAGGTACAGAAATGCTGCTGATGGCACACTTGGAATGGGGCGGGAGGGAAGGGATGGGGCTGGCTCCCCTTTGCCTGAAGAGGGATGCATGGTGACACCCGAACGTTGAGGTGTGGTTGGGCTCCCGAGGTTGGATTTGTCCCTGTGCATCCCTCTTCCAGTGCACTGGCACCTCCTGCACTGGGAAGCTGAGGGGGTTGCCCTGGGATGGGAACGCAGCCTCATCTCGCTTGGAAAACCCCCACCTCGGGGTGCATCCCTTTGCTGCCACCAAGTTTTCCCTCTTCCCAGGGCAGAGTGTTCCCTGTGCAAGGAAACATCACAGTCCTGAACCCAGCAAAGCTGGGGCTGAGCGGGGACCTGCATCCCTGTTATGGACCCAAGGCAGACGATGACTGTGCTGCCACTTCCAGCCGCTCTGATCCCGCTGGGTGTCCCAGTGGCACCGGTAAGGGATGCTCACATCCATCCCTGCAGCAGGGACCTGTGGCCATGGAAGCCTTGGGGACATCAATCTCCTGACCAGGCCAATCCGCCCGTGCTGGGGCTGGGACCAGGGGACACATGCAGGGGCAGGGCTGTCCCCCCACCCTCCCCAACCCATCCTCTGCAGCTCCCTGGCACACAGAGCCCAGCCATGCCCATAGAAGGCACCTGTGCAGTGGTGGCTGCTGCATTTCCCTCCCCTGGCATTGATTACAGCGCGATGCTGAGCCCATGCAAATCAATTTGCAGCGATATAAACCTCCACCAGGTTTGACTCCTCAAGGACACGGGGATGACCCACAGCATCCCCACTGCAGCATCCCACCGGAGCAGGGCCAGCCCCCTCGCCGTGCTCCACAGGGATCACCATTCCCGCGGCCGCTATGGGAATGGCTATAAATAGCTCACGTAGCAGCTTGTTAGAGGATGCAGCGTGCCCCGGGATCCTTAGGGATGAAAGGCACTGAATAAAGGCAGGGTATCAGCGTTCACTGCGAGCCACAGCGCTGTAAGGGGCATCAGTGAGCCGGGTACGCACCACAGACACCCTCCTGCATGCACAGCACCGCACACAGCTCCTGCCAGCAGCACCTTTGTTCCTGCTCTCGACACAGCGCAGGGAAGCGCTGAGTGCAGGGCTCGCACCGCAGGCAGGGACAGGGACCCCAGGGCAGCACAGGAGCTGCCCCTTGGTCACCCATCCCCGCTCCCATCTCACCTGGAGGAGGGATTCAGCCACACATCTCATGCAGCACAGAGGCACCGGATGCGGCTGCACTACAAACAGCATCCAGCCCCCTCCTCCCAGCTACCGGTACCCAAACCTCCCCCCCCCAGGTCTCTCCCCCCCAGCCTTCCATCAACCCCCAGCGGCGCAGCGAGGACTGACAGCTCCATCACCACCCGCCCTCTGCGGGCCCCCCTCTCTTCCCACCACCCAGCTGCCACTGCAGCAAGCAGCTCTGGTTAATCAGTGCTCCAGCCTGTTAATTTGTGCTCGCCAGGCAGCAGGAGAGGAGGGACCCGGGACTGGAATCCCCATCCATCGCCCTGCCCGCAGGAGAGCTCACTGGACCACAGCAGTAAGGAGTACAGGAGGAGTGAGTGGATTCAGAATGGTTTGAGACCCCTCACCATAGTGAGATGCAGGAGGTGACGTGATGCTCCAGCCCTTTGGGCTCCCACAGGCTCAGCAAGCACTGTCCCAGTGTAGCAGCCAGCAGGAGCCTTCCCCAAGCCTCTGCATGTCCCCCTGTGCTCCAGCCACTACGACAGCACCTTGATCCCATGGTGCCTTATCAGGGGAGCCACAGTTAATAATTCCCAGCACAAAGCAGCTCTGCTTCCCCTGCAGGGCACTGCAGCCCTGCCAGGCCTGGCCTCCACCACCAACCCACCGGCAACAGGTCCAGCATCACCCGCCAAGGCCACCACTGGTGGTCCTGCAGCATTTATAGGGGTCCCCTGCGCATCCTGTTCTAGGGGAGCCAGCACTGCCCCATCCTGGGGCTCCCATCCAGGTCTGGTGCTTCCTAAACCTGCTGCAGGTGCTCAGTGCAGCGCCCAGATGAAGGCAAATTGGCACCTCTGCATGTGCAGAGTGGGTGCTCCCACGTGAGCAAAGTGGGTGCTCAGGCATGAATTAATGGGGCACTTACGCATGCACTGAGCACCCATGCCTGAGCCAGATGGGCTCCCATGCAGAAATAAATCGGGTGATCATGCACGGACTAATTGAGCAGTAATATTTGGATGCTTCTAAGTGAACTAATTGGGTGCTCATGCATGAACTACCTGGGTGCTCAGGTGTGAATGAAAGGGGTGCTCATGCATCCATTTTATGGGCACCCTTGACTCCAACGGGGTGGTGATGCCCGGACTAATAGAGACCTCAGGTGTGAATTCACTGGGCCCTCCTGTGTGAACTAATTGGGCACTAGTGGGTGAATTAGTGTAATTAGTAGGTAACACACTTGTGCATGTGCTAATGGGGCACTCAGGTGTGAATGGATCAGGTGCTCATGCAGAAATTAATTGGACACTGGGGCACGAACTGATGGAGAGCACACGCATCAATTGGGCACCCATGCAGCATGTAACAGGGAGCTCATGCATGGACCAGTGTAATCCAGCGTGAACTAACTGGGCGCTCATGCATAAACCAACCGGTGCTCTATGTTAAGTTAATTATGCACTCATGTGTGTATTAATTGGGTGCTCATGCATGAACTGACCGGGTGCTGATGCGGAAATGACTGGCTGCTCATGCATGAGCTGATGGGCCCCTCATGCATGAAACACCACGGTGCTCCGGGGTGATCCTGCACACCCTGCAATTTGCACCCAACACATTTCACCCCTCGCCTCTGTGAACACGTATTTAATAGGACATTCTGAACACAAACCTGCTGCAAACCCCACTTACAACACCATCACAATGTTAATGTTGATGGATTATGAGCTCCCCACTCGGTCCCTGCCAAGCAGGTGACAGTAGATGAGCTCCCATGGATTGCACTCCTTGTACTGGGACCTGGATTCGGGGCTCAGCACCACGGCTCAAACTGCAGAATCAGCCCCCAGTCCCCGCAGAGCAGCAACCAGAGCTCAGCACAGCAGCCTGAATGGATGCTCAGTGCCAGCTTCCCACCTTGCTCCTGCAAACACAGACCCAAGGAGGT